CCCCTAGTCCCACCCAGGCCTGATTGGACATGAAAGCTTTGTTAAAATATTTAATAAAGAAAGTTCTTAAACAGAACCTACCTGACAATGTGAAGTAAGTTAAATCATCCTAAACAGCAAAACCTTTTTATCATAACATTATTATCCCAGGATCAAAGTCACAGTTTTATTATGTTTTTTTTTTCTGAATGCTTAAACCAGCCATCCCCAAACTCGGTCCTCAAGGCCCCCTGTCCTGCAGGTTTTAGAGGTTTCTCTGCTTCAGCACAGCTGGTTATAATGATTGCAGTAGACAAAAAGCCTGTTAATCAGCTTTCAATTAAAATCAGCTGTACTGGAGCAAGGAAACCTCTAAAACCTGCAGGACAGGGGCCTTGAGGACCCAGTTTGGGGATGCCTGGCTTAAACCCTATCCGTGATTTTTACAGCACAATTTCCAAAATTACAAATACTTATAGCAGTACCCCCGACTGAGTTTTCAAAACCAAAAGGAGAAACACTGCTCTGCATTCTCTCTACAATATCTTGACATACGCTTTTTAAAACTGTAGGTTCAATCCACCACACAGCACTTTTGCAGAACTGTAAACACAACTCACTGCTTTGCACTCCATTTCCAAATTATCAACCACATTGTGGAATACAATGGAGGGAGAAAGAAGAGTGAGAATTGGAGGAGGGAGAGGTAGAGGACGTGGAGGTGATGAAATACGAGAAAGAGGAGACGATAAAGAGGCGAGGGGCATGTGGGGATATTGACCATGCACCATGTCAGGCCTGGATACAGCATTCCAGGAGATATTTTCCCCGGTGTCATGATCTTGGCACTAATAACTGGCTTAATTACTCATTTCATTTACCTGTCTAACTCTGCCCGGTTTCTCATTACTGCTCATCTGATCCACCTGCTCCTGTCTCTTTTCAAACTGCCTGCTACCAGTCATCAGGGCCATATTATTTCTCCTGAGCCAGTGGGGAGAGTGTGTCCAGTGTTACCTAGGTGTTTCTGATTTCCTGTTCTGCCTCTCCACCACAAAGCCCTCCTGTTCTCGTCTGATTGGTTTTTACCTGCCTGCTTCCAGTTGTCAGGCCAGACTATTCTCATGCATTTGGTGAGAGTTCTCTAACATACCTGTGTGTGTTCTGGTTGCCTGATCCTGACCCTTTCTGCTTTTGGACCTCTGAGCCTGTCCGTTCCCATTCTGATCTGTTTGCCTGACCTGTCTTCGGACTTCTGCTTGTGGACCAAACCTGGATCTGCTTCCTGACTTAGACCTGGATTTCCCTTCGGTAACTCTTCGGACCTCTGATCGTCTGGGTCTGAATCCTGGGCACGTCCTCGACACCGGCTTTGACTTTTCCCTCTGGCTTGTCCTGCCTTCCTTTGTTTGCTTGGATCTGATCTGCTGTCAGTTCTATAGCCACCAAGGCGTCAGCATCTGGAACTATCTGTGCGGCAACTGTTGCGTCTTGTCAGCCGACCGGCTGGAACCAACCTTGTTCCCTGGGTACAGACTGAACTCTATAACCAGATTAGTAACTCTTGTGTTCATAATCATCCTCTATCAGATTATCCTGATCCTGTGTTTTCTTTCTGCAGAGGTTCCTTCCTTAGACGCCCTAGCAGCTGTTACCACAGATGCTTTAAATAAACGCTTCTGAATTATCCTACTGTCTGTCTTGCCTTTAATACTGGCTCCTCTGTTCTGAGTCTTGACATCCGGTGCCTTAGACAAGAGGACATTGCATGTAATGTGACTGAAGTCTTATGAAAGACACCCAGAGAGACGACATATCAACTGATTGGTTTTTTTTCTCAGTGATTTTGTTCTGTGTGTGTATAAACACCAATACTGGAAGTTGTGATCCCTGTATGTTTACAAAAATATGACCTTAAACTGACAGAGCCTACCTTGTGCACAGAGGAAACAATAGCAAGATGTGTTTTTTATTTATACCATCAGGGTGTAGTTGGACTATTGAGTGCTTATTGATATGATGGCTTGTGTTAACTGTTTGATAGTTATACATTTTTTTCAAAGGTTGAAGAGTTAAGCAAAGTTTTTTGGCTCTTGCAAGAGAACTACTATGTTTTGATGAAAGGTTTTCTTGTGTGTAGAGGTATGCAAACTAGCCAATAGTTACAAAAATTGTGCTTAAGCCATCAGAAAAGATCTGAAATATTATATTCTGTTTTTCTCCCCGCTTGAGGAGTGAATATTTAGAAATTAGGCTTACAATATGACATGTTCAAAAACAGTAACAAATACACCTGTTCTTAAACAACTAAATACAATGTAATAGGGTTAAAACGATTTGAAAAATGACCCCTTCATTGTATACTGTAACAAATGGCTTCTCTCATGAGGGTTTTTGAAAAAGCTCCAGTGTGCCTTTTCTTCCAAAGAACAAAAGACGTTCTCAATTGGACAGCAAGTTTTTGCCCTAAGCCATGTAGAGACCCTGCTTTGCAACTTTGTGGAAATAACACAGAAGAAGTTTGACAAAAAAAGGAAGTCAACAAAGAAGGACAAGCATTTTATTGCTCATGGCAGTTATGATCCACTTTCAGTTTTTTGTTCTCAAGACATGATTCCACAAATCAAAATGGGGAATCTATACCATCCTGAAAGGTGTGCAGGTGTTGTCTCAGGTTGTTGTTCTGACACTGAGATTTGTTGTTATCTGCTTAATGCAGATGAACTGTTGATGCAGTTAAGATATATCTTGGGATGTGAAAGAATATTGTATATAGCTTTTATATATGTAATGTGGGGAGTTTATTTATTTAATCACTCTAAACTTGTGGAAACATTGAAAAAGCTGCTATATTGGCTGTATTGAATGGGATGCATTTTTTTTAAAAAACATACTAGCAAAGAAAAAAGCATTATAAGAGAGGTTGTGTTAATTTTGAAAAGATATTCACATTATCTGGGAGATACCTATATCATTTCTTATTTAAATAAAGTTTTCTACTGGATTACATGACTAAAGGGGACAGCCATGTAACATTTATTGCAGGTTGGAGCTCATAGAGATAAGAATCTTTGGTCATTCATGGTATCAAACCTTTTCAGTGTCCTCTATCATTATTTATGGCCTCTTCAGCTCACTCTCATGTGTCCTTCAGGATCTATTGACTGAAGGACACATGAGGACACTATCTATGGACTGAATAATATTTCAACCCTTTTTGTGTTGATTTGTTAACATATTTCGGATCATAACTCTACTAAAACACTTAATGAGAGCTCAGTCACTCTCTGGAAAATATAGCACTTCAGCACAGCAGGCCCATGCACTGTATGCACTTCAAGATTCAGTACCAATGATAGTATAGCTTACCTGCACATTGTTATATTGCAGTTGTTTTTGACATTCACAGTGGGAAACTCTAAATTTCTTTTCATTCGAATTCTGTTGCAGCCAAGTTGACAGGATAATGCAGAAATGCTCACATTGTGCATGCTCTAGAAGGTGATGTCATTCTCAATTAAGCGCTGCTGTATTTTCTGAAGCCTTATGGAATTATTTGCTATCACCATATTGACTTTATGGGTCTCTTGTTCTGCAGCAAACATTCCTCCTCTGCACCCAGCATCTGGATGTCTAGCAATGTGTTTGTAAAATACAATTTCAGTATTTTTATATGTATGGTATTATTGTGTTTGTCATTAGAGTATGGCAGTGCAACAAAACTTAATGCGAAGTCACTGTACTTACCGATTCTAATTTCCAAATGTCCTTATGAAGCTCATTACAGCGTAGCAGCTCAAGTGAGGCTGAACCTTTGGTCGTCTTTCCTTGAGATCAATCTTTGGTTGATTACATGGTCCCCTAATGTAGCTCGAAAGTCATCTGATTGCAAAGTGAACTAATTATCTAAAACAGTTTTCACATGTGACAGTGTGTCAGACAGTTGGCAAAATAGTGTAAATAATATACAAATATGTGTATAGTTTTGGTAGGAGTGTGTTGATTATTTGGAAATTGAGTGTAAAGCAATGAGTTTTGTTCAGTTCTGCAAACTGAGTGCAAAAGCAATGTTTGTGCTTTTAGTTATAAAAATTCAGTGAATCGTTTTACTATAAGTATTAATGGTTTTAGAATTTGCTCTATAAAAATCACAGTTAGAGTTTAAGCATTCATAAAAAATGTAAAAGAGCGATTTTTATTGTAACAGAAGAGGGTCTACATTTTGATAACATTCCCTGGGTCTTTGAAAGAGAATGGCTTACACTATTGCTAATCTTTTATCAAACTTTATAGAGGTAAAAGGGGTTCTGTTACTTAGAAATGATCTGAATATTACAGCAAATGGTTTGTTTCTGAGGAGCTTTACATATTCTTGCATCACTTTACATATGCAGCAATGGTGGTATTGTAGACTTAGTGACCCTAACATATCTACATATCTTTATGGTAGTTTAAACTTTTACCTTCCTTACCATCTTGCTCTTTCTGGTTTTTCTTCAGCTTTAGATATGGGTAAAATCAGATTCATGGCTGTTTTCTATAACTTATTTCCTGACTTATGGTATAAAGATCCAGACACTCCAGTTTAATTACTATGGCACATTCTCCTGTCTTTCCCATTTTCGGCCTGGCTAAGCTCAAAGTGACAATTATATTTAAATTCTAAGCTAAATAGTCAGAGATTATAAGAAAAAGGTTTGTTTGCAATAGCTGTTTAAAAAATGAATATATCATCACCAAAGGTGGGAAGAAGTTTGGACAATACATTAGATAGCTACAGTCGCTTCCATGAGCTATCTTTGTGTCATCAGGTCTTTATTAACAATTTCTTAAGAAGAGAAACCTGAAACAGCATGTACATTTTAACTGGAGGGATCTATGTCAAAGCCCATTGACACAATAATGTGTTGGAGGAACATCTGACTGTAAACCATGCCAGGGGCTGCTGCTGTCTACATGAGAAGTCACGGCACGAATGCACAAGGTGCTGAAAGTGAGTGTTTGCGCCTGTGCATTGCTCATACTTAATCAAAGGGAGGGCTGAAGAGTGATGCTGCTGTGGTTTTACATGTCCTATAAAAACGTCTGTATAGCCTTCAGTTAACACTGTGACGGACACCTGCACAGGTAAGACCCTCTTCAGATTGTCCTGCAAGTCTTATATTCAATTTTCAATGGGATAATATCTAAGCCTAGTTAATAATTTTTATTTAACTTTCTAAATAGAAATAAAAAAATATTTTAAGGACTGATGAAAAGTTATGGTGATTCTACCTTTAAATGGTTTCTAAAAACACCCCCTAAACATATTCTTAATGTTGCATTTCAGTCTGTTCAATCTGTTCAAGCTAACTTGGATGGATGGGTTCTCTCATTGTTGTTGTCAATTTGTTTTTTTTAATTTTCAGGATTAAGCAACTGTCAGTATGAATCTTGTCCTCTGGGTCCCCCTTCTGGCTGTGCTCTTTCAGCCTGCTTGGTGCGTCTACAACTGCTCCTCTGTGTATAACAGGACTCCAGGTATGAAATCCATCAATGAGTATTTAGAAATATCTGATTTTTTCATTATTATTATTCAGTTACAGAGCATATGCTTTGTATAAACAAGGGAAACACAATGTTCTTCAAAAAGATAAAGGGAAAAAATGTTAATGATAATAATAACTGAACTTTATTGATCTCACATTGGAGAAATTTACCTTTGCAATTAACCCATCCCCTTGGGAAGCAGTGGGTTGCCATCGTGGGGCACCTGGGGAGCAGTGATAAATGCTTAAAAAAAATGAGGTGTACGAGACTAAAGACAGGGAAAAACACAAAAATGTCTAGAAATAAATGGATAAGTCTGGGAAAGAAAAATTTTTTTTTCAAAGAATCAGGTATAAATGACTAAGGATGTGGAAAAACACAAAAATATCTAGAAATAAATAGATAAAAGAAAAATATCTCCACAGGTGACTATGTCTAGGAAAGAAAAGTTAAACAGAAAAGCTCTCAGCTAATTTTAATGTCAAAAGGGATGAAAGAGAGCAGATACTGTACAGAGAATCTGATTCCATAGCTATGTCTAACAGAGAAACAGGACTAAACAATGAAACTAGGCCCAACTGTATTATCTATAATAGGAGGTGTTGATGGCAGCAGCCCCGAACATATTTCCCTCGAGAATGAAGTCACAGCCAAACAGGAACAGACCATATGAAGCTACTATGATGAGAAAAAGCAGAGGACATATGGGGTAAACTAACAAATACTGCAAAATTGGAGAATACAGATAGGATAAAGCTGAATGATGAAAAATGTCCCTTATGTCCTCCAGCATCGCAAGCCTATAGTAGCCTTAGCCTATAACTATAGAGATAGGTTAGGGTTATCTGACCTTTCGGATCAGCTCAAGGCTTTTAACTGCACTTTGTTGATTCCCTGATAGCAAAGAATTTCAATAGTCCAACCTTGAAGTAACAAATGTATGGGCTAGTTTGTCAGCATCACCCTTGGTTAAGATATTTCTAATTTTTGCAATATTCCAGAGATATAAGAATAAAATTCTAGAACCCTCTTTAATTCCTACAGAATGTTTAGTAACACTAAGATCTAAATGGACAAGTACAGTTACAACTTCATACATATGAGGCCATAAGTACATCTTTAGTGAATTTAATTAGTACTGCTCAGTGCTACAGTGAGCTCTAAAACCTCACTTAATCCCTTCAAAAAAGTAATTATTGTGTAAGTGCTGACACAGCTGGTTTATAACTTTTCTCAAGGATTTTAGATAAGAAAGGAAAAGGAGATATTGGTCAATAACTGAGTCTCTATCTCTGTCTTGTGGATAGTGGGAAGGTTTCTTAAGTAAATAATTACAGCTACCTCAAAAGCCTACTGTGTCCCTCTATTAGCGATAGTTTAACTATAAACTGAGGTGTAAATCAAAGTGAATACTTGCTTAAATAATTTGGTTGGAACTGGATCTAACATACACATTAAAGGATTGGATGAAGATAATGATTTGGCTAACTCTAAAAGTTCAAATGCATCAAAAAGTCCAAACCCAGTTCAGATTCTATAGTTACCTCAGATGTTGGATCACATTCCAGAAATAAAACAATCATATTTAAAGGGCTGCACATGATCTAAGATGCAATTCTACAGTTTAGTCATTAATGATTACAGAAATAGAAAGCTATAAACCTAAAATCTGCATTTAATTAAAGCTACTTTTTCAGAATTTTACTATTTATGGTAATAATACCAGACAAGCCAGTATAGTAAAATAAAAAAAATAAATAAATAAAAAAACCAAGAGGATTTAATACCAGCACAAAGCTAAAATCTTTCATCTTTTTCCAAAATAAGATTAAAATAATATCAAGTAAGTGGTCATCTTGCATGTAATTAAAATAATCTTTTTCAGACAATTCAGATCTGGCGGTAAGATGCGGCACCAGCATGATAACCATCTAGGTCAACCTGTGCACGGCCCAGTGGGCAGGCTTCAACTCCTCCACGCTGGCTCTCAATGGGAATCACAACAAAGCTGCATGTTTGGGCTCCATGGATGATAGCGTAGACCCTCCTGTCATCCGTTACTATCTTCCTGTGAACAATAGTGAGGACAACTCCTGCCGCCAGTCTCTGCAGGTCAGAACATGTCTCTTGGACCATGTTTTTAAGGAGGACTGTGCAGATGAAATTGATATACTATATATTGTTCTTCCCTGTACAGATTGTGGATGAAGCCCCAGATCCTACAGGTCCCTTCAGTGGTTTCTCTAGTATCCAGTCAGTAATCATCACATCATACATCGACACCTCAAATACGGATGTAGGGATCATCAGCTACTCCACAGATTTATATTACCACTTCTCCTGCCGTTACCCTCTGGAGTATTTAATAAACAACACACAGATTGTAGCGTGAGTACCACTAGATATTAATTTGTTGTCATAATTATTTAATTTCATTTAAAATTAATTCAGTAAAGCTTCTATACACTTTTCACTTTAGCTCCTCGGTCTCTGTGGCGACCACCCATAATAATGGAAGCTTTATTGATACTCTTAAAATGGACGTTTTTAATGTAGGTACAATTTCACAATTCTTTTTAACAAAATATGTGAGATTTGTTACTAATTCTGTTCAACAAACCATATTTCCCTAGGACACAGACTACAGGTATCCACTGGTTGTTCCATCAACGGGGCTTCAGCTGCGAACCAAAGTCTATGTGGAAGTAAAGGCTGTTAATCTCACAGGAAAGTAAGTGCAACCTGTTTGATTTTAGAAATATTCCTTCTGTGGAAATGAAAGTCTATAAATGTATTCTTTTAACGCCGATTATCCTGTTTTCAGTTTCCACATCCTTCTGGATCACTGCTTTGCGACTCCCGGTCCTTACACGACTCAGAATGAGCAGCACAACTTCTTTACCGGGTAGGAAAGGCTAAATAAAAGTAACTGATGAAAAAGTTTTGACATCCAGAAACTCATTGAAATCCTTCCTTCTTCGTCAGCTGTAATGTAGCAGAAAAGTCAGTTGTGACAAGTAACGGCCTTTCCAAAGTGGCCCGGTTCAACTTTGAGGCCTTCCGCTTTGTTCAGCACAAAGACCAGCAGAAGTCCAGCATTTACCTGCATTGCATACTGAGACTATGTGAGCCCAGCAAATGTCAACAGCTGCTCTCTGTAGGTCTACTATTTTTAATTTTGTAAATGAAGAAAAGTAATTACAGTAAACGACAAAACCATTTAAGTTCAGAAATCTAAAAAGCAATAATAGCAAAAAAATAAGGAAAGGTTAATAGATTGGCTCTAAGCAATCAAGGTGGACAAATTAAACTCTGTAGATAAACTCTACACAATCAAAAATATGTGATGCTGTAAAGTGATAGTATGTGATATACCTTACATTTCAGAAAGATGACAGACTAAATAAACAAAGTGAACCTCTTTATTTGCTCTACTTTAATTTCATACAGCCTTTCATGATGACATAGATGAAGAGTTTAGAGTAAAGAAATGTAAATTGACATGTGTAAAGTAATCCTCTAAAAGGTGAAAATGTATTCAGAAGTTTTTATGCCTTTTTAACCTTTTTATTAACTTATTTTACTGGGATTTGTTGTGACCAGAAACATCTTTGTGAGGCAAAAGAACAAAATCTTCCTGCATTTTTTTCAGGGCTGTAACAACAGAAGAAAAAGATCCTTGACTGCCTATGGAGAAGAAAGCAGCAACTCTGCCACCGTCTCAGTCGGACCCCTGTTCACGGGCCGGAAAGGTTTAAAAATGAATAACCTCCTTTCTCTATACATTCACTCCTAAATTGTGTTACTGATCATTTATTTATTCTTTCCTATTTAAAGAGATGCCTGATGTAGCTGGCTCCAGTAAGTATTCTTGAATTTAGTTAAAGTATGTTGTATAACAACCCAATAACACTAAATACTCAATCTGAAATATAATTTGACAGCTGATCTCATATGTTTAGCAGGTCACACTGTGGCATCAGCGAGTGCTGGTGTGGATGCAAGTAGCCTGGTGTGGCTCATGCTTGGATCAGCTGCTGCCCTGCTGCCTGATATGATGAAGTATTATTAATCTGGAGGAATAACTCCCACACCATAAATCTGACTGACCGATCAAACAGCTTGTATATTATTTGCTGCTCATTTTTTAATCAGACTGTAACTCAAGGCTTATGTCAAAGGGTTGCTTTTTGGCTGCAATTTAGTAATGTAGCATCTGTAGTATGTTTTATTTGTGCACAACTCTGGATGCCCTTTAACTAAGAAGATATAGAAAAGCTGAACTGTGAAAAACAAATATTAAGAATGTGAAGTGTTAGAGAACAGAACTAGCACATATATATTTTTTTTATAATGCTTGTAAAATTTCCTGCTACCTTTCTTTTCTAAAGTGGTTTACAAAATCCTGTCGAAAATACTTTATACTCTTTTATTACCGTGTATATATTATGTAGATGAAAATGAAATAAAATATTTTAATCCTCTTGATTCTACATTCATAACTGTCTGACTAAAGGTACGTCACTAAAATCTGTGGAAGTTCATAATATAGGAAACATGGCTCATAACCCAGAGTAATCAAAATAAAAAAAGATTCAACCACTGGTTTAGCAGAAAAGCAAGTTATCTAGTTCTTTTTATAATGAATTCTCCAATCAAGGAAGTGGTATCCTAGCCTGACGTAGTCCGACTCAATTCTAGTCAGAATATGAGTCTGATACTGCTCCATAGAGCTGTGATTATGGGGCGTGTTTCGAACGAACCAGGAAAAAAAATGCCTCTGCACTCAATTGGATAGACCTACAACCAATAAGAGCAACGGAGTGCGTGACGTATGTTAAGTGAGGCATAGTTGTTGTCCACAAAAATCAAAGCGTGCAGTTGCACGCCTACAATAAGAAGATGAGCCTTGATCACGTTTCTCTGTTCCTCTTTTAAAATTAATTTGCTGTCGATATCTTCTAGAACAGACCTAATTGCAGAATCTACTCACCCAAACTCTCCAGCGGCAGCCATTATTGTTGTCACCCAAGCGCGCTTTGGTCACGTGGTTGATTACGTTACTCTTGATCATCTGTCCATCATCGTATAAAGCCCGCCCTGACAATTTGATTGGTTCGCCTGACAGTGGGCGATAATACTCGGGCTACTATGGAGCAGAGCCAGGCCGAACTTCCCCGAACTCAAACCTTGTGGGCGGGACTAAGTTCGGACTGGCACCCAGGCTAGTGGTATCCCGCTGTATTGTCTACAGAGTTAACACTGTAAGAAAATGGTTGATTCCTGGACATTTAATTGCTTATCGATAATTTATAGTTTAAAAAAAATTTTTTTTTAAAACAAATATTATCCTTTTTATGAAAAAGAAACCTTTTGGAACAGCTTCGACATCAACTTATAGATAAGACAAACCTACAATAAACTACACTATACAGTTAAAATTTGACATTTTCACACACCCAGTATAAAAAGATGGAACCCTTTATTTTCTACCTCTTTTTGACATTTAATCAAATACGACTAAACATTTATTTTTTTTATTTCATGTTTAAAAGTACAGGTTGAATTACTGTTTTACATATATGAACTTGAGTGAATGTGGTGTTGGCTAATCTTTTGAAAACATGACCCTAACACCTCAGGGAAGGCTTTCCATAAGGTTGAAGAGTGGCGTTATTCTAGAAGCTCATCTGCCAGATCAGACACTAATATTGGCACTGATGTTCTAGCTAGTGGTAGGCTATCCGCTGCACTTCATCCCAAATGGGTTCTTTCAGATGGAGGGCAAGAATTTATGCTCTCCAGTTAAGTTTAAATTCAAGTTTAGACCTGAAATAACGCAGTTCTGAAAGTGCGGTTCTCAAAGCAAACCTAGAAACATTTATTGGAACGCCGGCAAGAAAGAAATTATTGGTCACTCCAGAGAGCAGGTCTCCAGTATTCCACATTCCATTCAAGAAGTGCTTTTCACCCAAAGTTTTAAGATGTTTTGCACTCAATGATGTAAGGATTAGTGCAGCTGGTTGTCCATGCAGTTTAAAGGCCTCCTTTTTTTCAATAGATAGATATAAAAGTCTAGAAATATCATTGGATAGTTTAATGAACTTTTATTCAAATATAGATAATGTTTCTTAAATAAAAATCAAAACAACAGAATCTTTTTGGTTCAGAACTCATTAAAAAAACACTTTACATAAAAATATTTTTTACATTACAACAAAAGACAGATGCCAATATTTACACAAATGTTCACCAATATTATCTAAGTTCTAGTACTGTATCATTTAGACATATTTACAGTTTTCCAACCACTGGTACAGAGGTTATTAAAAAAGTAGAGATTGTGGGCAGGAACAACAGTTGAAGCGGTAGTTTGAATGCACCTGATAATATGCTTAGGACCTGGATTAATTCAAGTTTAACTGTGATTGTGGTTTCATTTTTGTGAAACCCCTACCACACATTTTTCTACAACCTTACAGAGCAGACTGGATGAGATGACTTTTATGAAAATATAGAGATAATCTTTCTTAAATAATGATGAATAAAGTAATTCCTTTCTCCCTTTCTTAACTTACAGCAATAGAAATAAAATACAAACAGGTTGTTTTTACACTTGTATAACAAAATACTTTACAAAGGGAGAAACTTTTATGCAGAGTAAAATACCTGATAATATTTTCTTCATCATTTGCATACAGAATGTGAAAAACTGAGAAATTTTAAATGCATTCATTTTTCATTTACTCATGTTTACAGCCAGTTTCTACTCTGACACAATGGCAAAATACAGGATGAATGATCAAGATGTTTTCTTTTTAAGTGCATTTGTGTGAGTTTTTGTTACTGCACCGAGTGCATTATATCCTGTATCAGAGCAGAGAGTTTAACTGAGAAGTCTTCCCGCAAAGATCCTCCTTCCTGCATGACTGAGGCGGAAGGCAGAGACGGGGCGCCACCAACCTCCTCCTCCACACCTATAAACAGCCTCTCCATTCGGGCCGGTAGAACCTGACTCTGCAGAGCTGCGTTATGGCAGAATTCCTCTAAACCACCTGCCAATTCAGTCTGAGGAGACCGAGGTGACTCCAGCATAGCTGCCAGCTGTGCTCTGAGAGCTTCCAACCTGCTCTGTGCCTCGTTCCTCAGTGAACTCACTTCCTCCCCCAACTTGGAGCTCACTGCCTGCCAGACCTCTGAGCCAACGGCGTCTCCTTCAGCATCATCTCTCTGCTTTAGATGTTTAATCACATCACTTGCTGAGGTTTGAAAGTCACTGATGAGGTTGGCTAACTGGATGCTGCTGCTCTCTAGAGTTTGGCTTATCCACTGGACTGCTTCTTGATAAAGAGCAGCACTGGCCTCTGCCTGAGTCGCTGATTTCTCGAGGCCCTGAAGGTACAGCTGAAGCTGGCTGCACAGATCCTGAGTATTGCTGCTCAAAGAGCGCTGGAGCTGCTGGGTGAGAGGATTCAGGCGCTCCCTCATGCTTGCCAGGGTGACTCTAAGATGAGCTGGAGATGGAGACAACCTCTCCCTCAGCTCGGCCAGCTCCTGGCGCAGACGGACCCGCAGACGCTCTGACTCCATGGTGAGCTTACGTTGCATTTCCTCTGCAAGAGGATGCTTCATGTCATCATTGTCAAGCGTGTAAAGGCCACTGCTATCTATGATGCTTTTGTAGATCCCACTAAAGGAAGAAAGAGAAACATTTCATGTAATGGATGGCTGAATTCATTCTTTTTTGAACAAGCCTAAAACAAAACATCATATTGAACAATATAAGTCTATTGGTACATCTTCCGTGATATATGTATGCAAAATTCAAATAAAACTTTCTTTATTAAAAGAATAGGAGGAAGGAAATACATATAAAACCCTTTAACTTTTAGTCCAGCATAGCTATTGGAAGTTCATGCCCCTTAAACGTCCAAATGCTCCTTCAACCATTTTTTATTTTAAGTTAGCTCAAATTATTATAAAACAGAAGTTAAATAATCAATCCTTTTTAAGTCTTTTTTTGTTAATAAAAATCAGAAAAGTGTGTTATTCACTTGTCTTTACCCGCGAACAATGTTGAGGGATAAGTCAACAACTGCTATTCAATCTATCAACCTAAACAAGACAAGCTGAGCAATTAGAATACAAATCAGAGGTAATTTGGATGAGCTGCATGGATTAGAAGCTCAGGTAGGGAAGCCTTGATGGTAAAGCTATTATTTGACCATGTAGCAAATAGGGGCTTTATATGCGGCAAAAAAATCCATATCCACATGCAAAATTATCTTTCTGTCGGTCAGCAACTCTGAATAAACATGAATTTATCCCAATAGCCTAATTAAAAGAAAGACCTAAAACAATGAAAAAACAAAAATTTAGTCTTTAAATGAGTGAAGGTGTTGGCATCATACAGTAGGTTCTTAAAGACTTGCTGAAGACATTGCAAGAAAAGTTTTTTTTTTACAAGGTATTAATTTGGGAGGACTGAACATAAGTGTGAATTATTGAATGGGAAATGGTTCAAAGGATATTAACATTTTCCAAAGGCATTTGATAATATTTTTTATTGACTTTGATAACAGCTGCCAGTTTAGTCGACTTACTGTCCATCTTTTGAGAGGTTTGTCTTGTCAAATACGTGATTTGCCTTTGAGTCAACCCAGGGTGCCTCCCTGGAGTCACTGTGTAAAGGGTATGCTGCAGACAAAATGAATACACACATGAAAAAAAACAAAAAATAGAAAATAAAACAACAAAGAACATAAAAATTGAGACATAAAAGTAAAAAAAATAGTACCTAAAGTTGTTGAGAATGACAAGGTGAAGATAATTAATTTCAGAATCATCTCTTTAAAAGTGAAAAAAGGGAAACAGTTAAGATTTACACACAAAAAACAAAGACATTTGACAAAAAAAAAATACTTATTCTTTTTTTTTTACATTTCCCTTACTTAGAATAAGAGGAAGATCAGCTGGTCTTTCAATGGATCGGGGGGTCTGTGGGCTGACTTCTCTTCGCCTCTGACTTATAAAGGTCTTTCTTATCAGAGAGGCTGCCCTAACTCTGCCTTTGTCAACAGTCAACACGTGGAGGGTCACAATGATTATCAAACACGTATACAAACGCTCACAAACGCAGTGTATGAGGTCACAATGATATTATCTACAGTTTGACCATCATAAAGCTTAATTTCAGTGAATATTGTGAGAATCTTTTTTATGCTTTATCAATGGTTGAAATTAGACCCGCTCAGAAAGCTCTGAACTTTTCACTTTGTGTTATCTGCTTGACACATAACATTAAATAAACTATTTATCCACAGCACAAAAAATGTTTTTCACAGTGCACAGGATTTACTCTTATTTCTGTGAGGTTTTACCAGGCTTTGAGATCTGGGTGAAAGTTAAGTCTGATTCTGTTAGATAAGCTGCTAGTCGTCACTGTGGGGTCAATGTCCATGGCTGTGGTGATGAAATCCCCTATGTAGGTTATTCCAGGTATCCAAAGTCTCACATTTATTTCACTACAGTAACAGAGTTTAGTAAGACCTTGACTGCTGAACATAAAAACAGGCCTGTTGACTGTTTTCTGCACTGCTGAGTTGACCATTAGCTGAGTCAGCATAGATCAGCCAGATCTATTCAAAAAAGAAAACTGGCTGCATCCAAAAGATACACTGAACACATGCGAGAGAGTTTGTAGGAAAAGAAAATGTTACATAATATAACTTATTATCTAACTCTTGTGTTGAAATGATCAGCAAGCTAACAGTATCTCATATCAATGAGCAAAGCTTTTTTTTTTTGTCATTTTACTATAGAGCAAAGGGCGACCCTTTGACATTGTGCAATTGATTATTTCCCAGACATAGATAATCAGGTACCAATTGAATGTTTGGAGTGATTTCACAAAAATGTATTTTTTTGCTATCTGTTATAAATGGTTGTTCAAATAGTTTTGATCACAGTGCATGTTGACAAAATTAGATCACATATTTAAAAAGCATTTTGTCACTCAAACTTTTATGCACCTTCTTTATTTTGTTGGAAACTAGAGACTAATATATTTTTCTAGTCTAGTCCTGGGAAATCCAAACGTTTTAGCTTAGTCTAAAGTGTCTTTCTGGGAAGGAGCCATTTAGCACTGAAACCAGAGCACATGTCGTTCCGTCATGTACGTCATGTACACTCAGTTTGATCAAACTGTTCATGTTGAGCTGTGTTTCAACCATGAAAGAAGCCAGCAGATTAGTTACTGATTGTTTTAACTAGGTTGACTTAATTTTTCCCAGAAAGCAATAACTTTTCAGTGCTTTTATGATTAGCCATGTTTATTCCCTGGAAAAAGTTGACAAAAATACTGTTGCTAGTATATGAACTCTCTGATTTATCTGTCCCATTGACAGAACTAATTGGGAAATCCTTTCTTGTGTATTTCCCCCAAAAGAGCCAATTAAAGAGCTTTTTCTGTTTTATGCAACTTTTATATTATTTGAAAGTGCCCCTGGTCCAATGCCTAAATATTCAGCTGTGTTTTTTTTCTTAGTTGAGCCACTGTGTTGTGCTGTTGAACTGCCCCTATTTCAATAAACTGTAGTGAGATAGAAAACATTTCTGGATAAATATTAGAAGTTTATTTGATAAAACAAGTAAGGAAAAGCAGTGTTGTCTCATCTGGAGCCAAATCAATAATCAGTTACATGTTAGGATTGAGAAAAACACATGTTGTAAAGTGATCCTTCGGCCAGATCATGCTTTCCCTTCTCTCTGCCGACTCCTTTCCTTTGAGCAGTCACTTTTCTGTCACTGTCACCTAACCTCACTGGCCTTATGAATGATTCAGCTACCCACTGAAAGTTATGCAGACTAACTAGCTTGCTGTATAGTCATTTGTGGACGGTGGCGGACAGTAGCATTTTGTTAATTGAGTACTTTTACACAATTTTATGTCAGATTGTTTTTTTTAAACAACGGATACAATGTTTTTATCAGTTTCAGTGTAGTAAAGCGTTGCTTATGGGATTTTTATTTAAGCATGTCAGTATCTTAAAAAAAATGCAAAGTTGTAGAAACGTGTGCTTTTGTTGGCTTTTTGTTGAGGTTCTGAGGGCAATGGCATATGAAGGGAACATCAGTCAACAAAACAAGGAAAGTCTGCACTGCAAGCCAGGTAAGCTTTCCCAACTGGATTTTTCCTCTTCTTACTCTCTCTCTCCCTCATTTTTTCCCTAACTATAACATCAAAAGGCAAGATAGAGGGACATTTGTTTTGCACATATTAGGTTTCTACTGTCCTCTGGCCGGCTTTGGTCCAGTCCCCTGTCCTAAGGGAACTTATGGGCCAACTGTTGGAGCTGTGTCCGAGGAAAGCTGTCTCAACTGTCCTCCAGACCACTACTGCCCTCGACCCGGCTTGCCTACCCCACTGGCCTGTGGTCCTGGGGCTCTGCAGCATTTGTCTGGCCAGGATGTCTGCATCTGCCAAGGAGAAGGACAGAGTTTTCAGGTGTTGTTCCTTTGTTTCTCATCTAAGCATTCCTATAAAGTACAAAGATCAGCAAAGTACAGGTGCTGGTCATAAAATTAGAATATCATGAAAAAGTAGATTGATTTCAGTAATTCCATTTAAAAAGTGAAACTTGTATATTATATTCATACATTACATACAAACTCATATATTTCAGATGTTTATTTTGTTTAATTTTGATGATTACAAATGACAACAAATGAAAATCTCAAATTCATCATATCAGAAAATTAGAATATTGTGAAAAGGTTCAAAATTGATGGCCCCTGGTGCCACACTCTAATCAGCTAATTAACTCAAACCACCTGCAAAAGCCTTTAAATGGTCTTTCAGTCTAGTTCTATAGGCTACACAATCATGGGGAAGACTGCTGACTTGACAGTTGTCCAAAAGACGACCATCGACACCTTGCACAAGGAGGGCAAGACACAAAAGGTCATCGCTAAAGAGGCTGGCTGTTCACAGAGCTCAGTGTCCAAGCACATTAATAGAGAGGCGAAGGGAAGGAAAAGATGTGGTCGAAAAAAGTGTACAAGCAAGAGAGATAACCGCACCCTGGAGAGGATTGTGAAACAAAACCCCTTCAAAAATGTGGGGGAGATTCACAAAGAGTGGACTGCAGCTGGAGTGAGTGCTTCAAGAACCACCACACACAGACGTATGAAAGACATGGGTTTCTGCTGTCGCATTCCTTGTGTCAAGCCACTCTTGAACCACAGACAGCGTCAGAAGCGTCTTGCCTGGGCTAAAGAGAAACAGGACTGGACTGCTGGTGAGTGGTCCAAAGTCATGTTCTCTGATGAAAGTAAATTTTGCATTTCCTTTGGAAATCAAGGTCCCAGAGTCTGGAGGAAAAGAAGAGAGGCACTTCATCCACGTTGCTTGAAGTCCAGTGTAAAGTTTCCACAGTCAGTGATGGTTTGGGGTGCCATGTCATCTGCTGGTGTTGGTCCATTGTGTTTTCTGAGGTCCAGGGTCAACGCAGCCACATACCAGGAAGTTTTAGAGCACTTCATGCTTCCTGCAGCTGACCAACTTTTTGGAGATGCAGATTTCATTTTCCAACAGGACTTGGCACCTGCACACAGTGCCAAAGCTACCAGTACCTGGTTGAAGGACCATGGTATCCCTGTTCTTAATTGGCCAGCAAACTCTCCTGACCTTAACCCCATAGAAAATCTATGGGGTATTGTGAAGAAGAAGATGCAATACACCAGACCCAACAATTCAGAAGAGCTAAAAGCCACTATTAGAGCAACCTGGGCTATCATAACACCTGAGCAGTGCCACAGACTGATCGACTCCATGCCACGCCGCATTGCTGCAGTAATACAGGCCAAAGGAGGCCCAACTAAATACTGAGTGCTGTACATGCTCATACTTTTCATGTTCATACTTTTCAGTTGGCCAACATTTCTATAAATCCTTTGTTTTTATTGGTCTTCAGTAATATTCTAATTTTCTGATATGATGAATTTGAGATTTTCATTTGTTGTCATTTGTAATCATCAAAATTAAACAAAATAAACATCTGAAATATATGAGTTTGTATGTAATGTATGAATATAATATACAAGTTTCACTTTTTAAATGGAATTACTGAAATCAATCTACTTTTTCATGATATTCTAATTTTATGACCAGCACCTGTAATCCTTGCAGATCAAAGAAGTATCCAAATCAAATGTTCTTATCTGAGGCAATGCTACACAGTTTATTTGCTGTACCGTCTTTTAAAGCAAAGGAAAATACCCTTTTAACAAGGTTATGATTTATTTATTGTCTTGCTGTTCTTTCCATATGAATGCAAGAGAATGAGCTTCCTGCCTGTCACACAGATGTATTAGATGATAAACAATCTGTAGCTTCAAGCCAAGAGCGCCCAGGATAGTATTACTGTACAGAAGGATCTGGTTTCCCAGGTGGCTGCAGTTACATAGGTGTTGACCTCTTCTCTCATCAGCTCAGGATCAGTGGAATGAGATTTTTTGGCGGGGTTGTCTGTAGGAGAACACTTGGGAGTCAGCTGCTTATAGAGCAGCTAAAGTGGATCTGATACGTTTACACCTATGTTAGAGTGACAGATTTTTCTCATGTAAGAAAGGAGACCTTTAAAAGTAATTTAAAATCTTTCTCCATTCACGTTACAGTTATCCTCAGCAGTTTAGCTGAGCAGCAAGTAAATCTGGTGCATTCAGTCTTCTTGAGGTTCTAGAGTCAAATTGGACAGAGGTAGAAGATATTTTCTCAAATAAAGGATTATAACAGATACAAAAATGTCCAAAGCAATATTTATACTCAATGGCATATTAAAAACATTTATTTAGATAATAATGGACAATGATAACCTTTATCTAAAACTGATGAACAAAAAAAGATCAAAATTCTACTGGAAGGCCATAGTCAGGCTAAGCAGCAACATGCTTTATTAGCAATGAGCTTTGCCGGTATTTCTTGGGCTGTAGAGACTTAAGACCTGGTAGAAGAAGTTGTCATGGCCTGACGATCAGCATAGATCTGACAATCTATACTGAGCATAAAAAATAAAAGCAATTTAGCTTTTATATAACTACAACTCTGCTAACTTAAACTTTGTGTAGTCATTGTGAATTCATAATGTATTTCAACATAAGTCACAGTTGCAATATGCAAAATTTGAGACAAAGAGTAGGAAGGAGGTAACCAGAGTTAAGTGTTTAAACAATGCTCATCATCTCAGCTGCACCCTGAAAGGGATTTCCAAAAAACAATAAAGAAACAAAGTTGTAGAGTTAAAAGTGTCCTCCATGTTTTAAATCCTGGTTTTGCTTATATCACCCTTCTTCCATCTATTCCTTTTCCCATAGAGCATGGACGGACGTTGCTTATGTACAATCGGATATCAACCCACTAATGACGGGGAAATGTGTGTGAAGAAAGTCTACAATGTCTGCAGGGACGGAAAATCACGTACACAATATGGGGAATGCTTGGACCAGCACCAATGGTCGCTTCACTGCAAAGATGAAGTAAATGCTTCTATTTGTGATAAGGACTTTTCAAACTGAGACACACACAAGAAAACTAGGGGAAAGGTTGTCGGTCTATCTTTTACAAATGATATGAGACAGGAAGCTCATACAAAAGATATGAAACAACTGTGACCTGTTTACAGAACCTACAGAGTAAACACACAGCTTACGATCGCTTAGGGTAATGAGTTCAACCTGGATGTCTTTGCCCTTTAATCTTTGAACCCGGAACGGCCTCAAAGCTTACTAAACCTACTTAATATCTAACTATCAACCTCTTCCTGTGACTTCTGCTCACAAATGATTTCATAGTTGTGTTGAAACAGAGGAATTTATATGTTACAGGTAATCGGGTTTGCTTTGGTTGTTTTCCTGCAGGTGTGCCAAACAGCGGAGGACTACAGTGGTTATGACAGGGAACTGGGTCTGTGTGTCTGCAGAGAGCCTCCTGGTGGAGCTGCATGTGGAGGCCTATGCAGAAGGAAGCTGGCCACCCATCTAAAGCTCCAGTGCAGATATGATAAATACATGGCCGTGACATGGAGCTATGGAAGTCAGGTGGATTTACAGTACAGATAAAATATATCACATTACTGAATGTTATCTTAAATGCTACTATAACATCCATATTATATTTCCACTGACTATGGATTAGCAAGCATCAAAGCCAGTTCAGATAATGCATACAAAGATGCATCACTACATTTATTGTAAACAAAACCTACAGCCTAAGCTCCTGTTTTGCCCTGACCCATAAATGGGAACCACTTTTATGGTGTGTCTGCAGGTGTCAAGTATCTCAGGCAGTGTGCTGCACACCGTTTTTGAAAGGTGGGATTCCCAGGGGACCCTCCAGTGCAGCAGCCATCACAAATCCTCACGTCCTGTCTACATTGTTCAGACAACAGGTGGAGATAAACTTTCAATTATATACATAAACAATTGTTATTCTGCAGCAGACTTCTTTGTGGCTCCCTTTCACACTCATGACCTCCTTTTTCTTCCTTGTCTGTGTCACGGCTGCAGAGGAAGGATTCTTTGGCCTCCTCAGTGGGCTCCCAGAGGAAATTCAGCAACTGTTTCCAGACACCACTTCAACTGGTTTGTCACTGATGTATACCACCCACACAATACAATAACAATGAATGGAAATAATGAACACATGAAAATCAAATTATTACATTAATGACTTTCTGCTTCACTGATTTGCAGAGGAAGATTATAATATCCTGGATGAAGTAAATGTTACAGAAAACGTCAGTAATGCAAAAAGAGACCCTTATTTCAGACAGTGGAATAAAGACTTGATTGACACGGAAGATAAGAGTCCGCTAAGTAGAACTGGAGTTCTCAACCCAACAACATGTCTCCACTTGGGAGATATTTTACTTTTCACCATCAGCATGCACCATTACCCGATGTATGATGTGTAAGTCAGATTCATTATTTATTAATGATCAACTTTTTAAAAAGAATCCACTATCTTTTTAACATTTCTTATCTTCTCTGCACGTCTCAGTGAAAATCTCTACAACACAAACAGTGATTTTGACTGGGGCTCGTTCAGGCTGCTGAAAGAAAAGCTGACACTGTCCTGGACTCCTCCTTCCTTCTTCTCAGTGGTATTTACCAACCCTGGAGTTTATGTCTTCAAACTTAGCAGCAACCAGCATAAACACATGGTAAGCTTTAGTTCAAACATAGTTTTGTGCTGTTATTTGTGTCGGATTTAACACTTTATAGGTCATGTGATTAATTGTTTTACAACAATCAATGTAATCAACGAGGTAATATAGGAAAATCCAGGAAATAGAAAAACTCATGCTTCTGATTATTTTTGGGTCTGAACTTAATCTAATTCAAGCAATTTCTGGGTAAAGCAATTTGCTTCCTAGTATTTTTTTTCTTTTTTATTAGACTTAGACAACAAAGTGCAGCAGTGATCAAATTTAAAGAGTGTAGCAGAAAAAAACAACATTGTGCAAAAACGCATTGATATGGAAGTTAAGGGCATTAATATATAAGGTGCAAATATATATTTTTAGTTTGGTGTTATCAGTGTGATGCAGAGTCTGTGACATGATTTACCTTTTTTTTTTGTTTTTTTAAACATTTTTATAACAGATGAAACAAATTTGAGTTAATCCTAAGTGTAGCCATATAAACCAACATACACCTACAGTATGGAAAAAGCACTATATTTGTAACTTAGTTATATTAGACACATTATATGATTTCTTCTCTTTTTAGATTTGATTGTTCCTGTACCAATTAAATGAAATGCTCACTTAAATAGAGCCTGTCAGACAACATGATAAAAGAAAAAACAATGACAAAAAGTAACACATAATGCCCCATTCTCAAGACTACTAAGACACACATTCAACCCATTCACAAAAAATCTTCCTCGAGGTTACAGCTGAAACAAAAATATTGTCTAAAGGCCTGCAAGGATAACTTGGCTTTGTTAAGATTGGTGCATATCACTAATTTAAGAGTTGCATGAGTAAAACTAACGCAGTATTTCCTAAAACTATGACCATAATTACAATCAGACATGGTGTTGTGGTAGTCTGGGGTTTAGAAAATCCACCTCTGACTGGCATCCTTTCTTTTAAATTGAGGTTTTGAGTTGTCATAGTTTACTTAACTCAGATTCAGAAAAGTGTGGCGTAAATCTAAACATGCCGTTCATGCTTGAAAATGTGAATTTGTATTGCATTAAAAAAAAAAATATTGCAAAAAAAGTAGGGGAATATCTTTGACAGAAGTAAGAAATGTTCATTATAAATCATCACAAATCCCTTGCAGACAGCTTTTTTCTCCTCAGTAAATTAAACCACATGAAAATGTGACATAAAGGAACAGCACAAATAAAGTAATAATTAAACACAAGCACACAGCTTTTCCCTCATTCTCACATGGCAAGTTCGGTCAGCTAGTTACCTTCTCTACTTTTGTCTATGTATCTCCTCCTTTACAACACCCCCTCCACTGACCTCCATACATAATAGGAAATATAAAAATACAAATAAAATAAAACATCCAGTGTGGATGATGCAGCCACAAACAAATAAACAAAAATAAAACACCTAGAGGATGCAGCCACAAACAAATAAAAAAATAAAAATAAAACACCTATCACTAAACATAGCCCCCTCAAAGTGTTGCACCTACTCCTAAATAAAAACATCAATATGTACTAACCATACTCATTAATTACCAGAAATACTACATACTTTAGATATGAACTAAGGTGTTTTTAATAAACTAAGTCATAATTCCATCATTATATCATGAAGCTATTACTACCATGTTTTGCTTTGGAGAGGAGGAATTCATGGTTTCCATGTATTCGGCTCTTTATCTAATGATAGAGAAAATACATGAATAAAACTGATACAGATATTTAAAGAAGCACATGAGAAACATTTTTGTCTCATTTGAGAGGAAAAAATATAGAAATGGTCAAGTGTAAATAACTGGAGATTCAAATTCCTTCCAGTATGTGCGAGTGATGCCTTCAGGGGGCCAATGTTATGAGCCAGGGCCCTTCTTCCCAGCCATCCCGAGACATTTGACCCAAATGGGAATAAGCAGAAGACGTGACCTATTACTTCGACCAGACTGGTTGGTGACGTTTGGGCTGGTTTTTGGAGCTGTGGTCATTCTCTGTTTATGTGTTGCACTGCTGGTTAGTTTCCTTTTAAGCAGAAAGTGCATTTACAGATGTTTACAAAAATAAAAAACAAGTTTATAAATACTTTTGTGTGTATATGTGTGTGTGTGTGTGTGAGTAGATTATATTCAAGGAGTATGGGTGGCCAGAAAAGGAGCCAGTCAAAGCAAGGTATCGGTCGTTGCAGTTGTCCTACCAAATGGATGACTATGCATCAAAAGGTTCAAGGATTTACACAATAAGGAAGACCAATCGAAATCAACAAGCCCAACAAATGAAAGACTCCATCCAACCAGGTAGGATATTTGGAGTTTTAATTCATGCATTAAAAGCCAATCTGTTTCCAAACTTATAGTCAAATGTTATGTGCACCATGTAGACAAACATACATGCACTTTGAAGACCCCAGTGGCTTTTTACCCAACACTGATATTGATCTTAGGGTGGTGCATCCATCTAACCAGTTACTGTTGACGTCATAAAGTTGATAGCACGTGCCGAATGACTAACAGAGAAAGAAAAACAGTTCAAGTGACCCATCAAAGGGCTCTTTTTCAGTTTATTCATCTTCAGCTTCTGAGAAGAACCTGACAGATCTTAACTTTAGAGTAAATGTTTCAATACAGGTGTGTACATAAGGAACAGCATTTAATGCTTTATTTGTCTAATGGCAAAAGTATTTATATTCTTTTTAATTTTTAACATTGTTTAACATTGCGACTAGATTTTCAATTCATTTTATTTCTGAGCTAGCATCAGTCAGACTAAGGGACACTAGATGCAGGTCCATGATGAAGATGTGGCAATGTTTACAGCAGGATTAAGTTATGATATAATTACACTCAACAAAAATATGAACTTAATACTTTTGGATTTGCTCCCATTTTTTATGAGCTGACTTCAAAGATCTAATACTTTTTCCACATGCAAAATATAACCATTTCCCTAAAATATTGTTCACAAACCAGTTTAAATCTATGCATCTATGGAAATGCCCCACTAAACCTGAAGGAACTGCTCACCCCTCTCACTACAACACGATCCCGCCGCTCAAAACACTGGAACCACCTCCTCCTCCCAAATACTAAGCTAAGCATCATGGGCAATCGTGCCTTCTGCACTGCCGCTCCTCAGACCTGGAATGCCCACCCTGATCATCTGAGGGAACCACAGACTATTCAGACTTTTAAAAAGGATTAAAAACATTTCTTTTTAGCAGGACGTATGACTTTTAACATTTTACAATTATGCTATTGATTTTATTCATAAGTGTTTTAAAGCGATGTTTAGTTTTACATTTTGATTTTACCCTTCTATTATGATTTTACCTGTAGCACTTTGAGATTTTTTTTTTTTAAGTAAAGTGCATTACAAATAAAATTTGTTATTATTATTATTATTATTATTATTAAATCTGTGATAGTGAGCACTTCTCCTTTGCTGAGAGAGTTGATCAGGTTGTTAGTTGTGGCTTGTGGAATGTTGGTCCACTCCTTTTCATTGTGCGAAGGTACTGGATATTGGCAGGAACCCGTACACGCTGTCATATTAAGAGCATCCCAAACATGCTCAATGGGCATGGGAGCTGGCTCGGAGCTCGTCTGCCTGGCTGTGTGTTTCCTGGACGGGGCCGCCTTTTACAGCTGCTTTTTGTATCCCTGCTTCTATCTCCTTGAACCCCAGTCGGCCTCGGCAGATGGCCGCTCACACTGAGCCTGGTTCTGCTGGAGGTTTCTTCCTGTTAAAAGGGAGTTTTTCCTCTCCACTGTCGCTACAAATATGCTTAGTGTGAGGGATTGTATTTGAGTCAATGCAATCAACTGGGTTTCCTTGGATAGAAAACTTTGTATCAGTTTGACTGTATGATCTGGTTGAACTGTAAAGTGCCTTGAGATGACATGTGTTGTGAATTTGCCGCTATATAAATAAACTGAATTGAATTCAATTGAATGTGTCTGGTGAGTATGCCTGATCAACTCTATGCAAAGGATGTGTTGCACTGTGTGAGGCAAATGGTGATCACACCAGATACTGACTGTTTTGAGGGAATGTTTGAGGGAAATTGTGATATTGTGTATGTAGAAAACGTAGGTTTAGATCTTGGAGTTGATCTCATAAAAAACGGGAGCAAAACCAAAAGTGTTTCATTTATATTTTTGTTGAGTGTATTTTGGATGAAAAACATTTTAAACTTTGCTACAAGAGCTGTAGGAGATCCAAAAAACACACAGATGAGGCCATTTAAATATTTTGATGGGGAGAGAAACCGTAAATTCATCCTCTTCAAAGCATAACATGATAGTGATAGCTTCATGATATAAGTATGCAATTTTTTAGCTAGGTGAAGGATGTGGTCAGAGTTGATAGTAAGGAATTTAACTAAATATAGGGACAACACTGGAACATTTTCTTCTTTCAACACTGAGACATTTTCTTCCACAAAAAGACAGCTGCCATTGTCGCCTTATGGTCCTGATAATAAAGATTTTACCTGTTAAGGTCAAACAACAGGTGGGCGTGAGGCAGTGCTTTTATGGCCCACCGGGAGGAGATAAAGCCTCTGGTGGTGAAAACTGGTGAAATTATTTCCAGACTACTGTTTATGTTCTTTTAAGTAATCTTAAGGAGATTCAAATACATGTTATTTGCTTTTCATCTCTCTTTGTCCTTCTTCTCTATCTCCTTGTTGTCTTTGTGAAAGCAGCCTGTCTGGATGTTTTAAATGAGTTCTGGGATTATGAACACCAGGTGGATTTGGAGGCTTTCAATAGCAACACCTTCTATAGCCTGCTGCTCAAACAAAGCTTGTCTGTCACTAAAAGGCTGGGGCAGCTCACGACTGAGGTAAAATTTGACTGTAGAGCAGATTAAACAAGAACATTTGATCTGATGTAATGATTCCTCCTTAATTCCTTCACACACACTTAGGCAGGTCGTTTCTGTGAAGCAAAACTGTCGAGAAGTAAGAAACAAATCATCTTTTGCCAAGGAAAGGGCTGTAGTTTTTTTTTTTGCTGCTATACTGAATAGTGTTCAGCCATCCCTCCCCTACCCATTGCTGTGGATTGCTCTTCAAATGTTTAAGAAAAAAAAACCCAGGGAGTCATTATGCAGATACTTCATTTTTTAAGTTAAAAGTTGCAGCCTGGCTCCTTGAGCCTGTGTGGGTCAGCTATATTTGTCTATGTTTAAAAACAATATAGCCATAGGCTGCCATATTAAATAAGCTACAAATGGAGCTCTGCAGGGAAAATTCAAGATAAATAAAAATAGTGTGTAGATTGTAAATTGGACAGAATGACAATATCGACAATTCTTTAAAAATGTAAGTTGAACTTATCAACTTAGTTGTGTATTTTTATTTTTTACGTCCATTACATTGAAGTAATTCACACATTAATAAGTCTTACTCATTCTGGGTCCATTTTGATCTAATTTAAAGGTATAGTGGAGGAGTTTGGAGAATTTTTGAAAAGACCTCTCCCCCTCTCCCCTTTTAAAAAAAATGCACATGCACAGCCCTGTACCCGCTCCAGAGAGGGAACGCCTATTAAACAGCATGCGAAAGCATGCAGGAGCCCATTTCTCCTCGTGTTTGCATCGCTCATACAAGCTTACCTACCAACAAAAAGATTGGCGAATTTTCCACTATGTCAGATTCATTTTCAGTAAGTGAAAATGGGGACGAGCAGGTAGGACGACCTTACGTAAACATATTAAAAGAAAATTCAGATTTGACCACAATAGTTCAGGGCAAAGAGGGAAAAGATCATGTAAAGAATTGCATTTGGCTTGTTTTGCTTATATCAATGTTTTTAAAGTGTGCTAATAAGTAACAGAACACTAAAAAACTAGTCAAGAAGATTGTATTTTGCTCATCCATATGTTAAATATGTAAATTTTAGCAGCTAGGGATTTCATTCTTGTTTTTTTTTATGTTAGAGTTAACTTAAGAGAAAAAAAATAATTAAAATCTTTAGCAATCTTAAGTTTAAATCTTATTTATTCAGATTTAAACTTAAAGCAAAATTCTAAAAAAGCAGATTTTTATATTCACTTCCAGATCCTGGATTTGATTGCCTACAAGCCCTGATCCAATTTGGTTACATACTTCTCTTTCCCCGTTTTCTATAGCTCTTCACATTTCACAGACAATGTTTAGGTCTATTAAAACAGATTGAGTATCATATGTAAAAAAAACTATTTTCATCACACCACCTGTCTTTGTAGTGTATCCTTCCTGTTGTAGCTGGATGCAGTTTAGAGAACAGATTGGTTTTACAGCCCCGTAAAAGTGAAGTTATAAAGATGTAAGAAGAGACGGTATCTTACAAACGCTTATTTCTCCTGAGGATTAAAAATGCTTGCTGTAGCTGGATGATAGCAGGATCAGATAACAACACTTTTATGAGGGTTTTGTTTCTGATGTGAAGTTGTGTTTGTCCAGGTAAAGGAGATGTGTCAGGGAGTCCTTGGGAAATTACAGCTGCTCCACCCAGGCATGATAGCTGAAGACAGGGTGGGGGAAGGTTACGAGAGGATGAGGAAAGAGGTGGAGAAAGAAGTTGGGAGACGGAAATCTTTGGCTTCCCATCTACAAACTTTGCTCGAAAATCAGCTAGAGGTATTTTACATGATCTCCTGAGTTTAAGTCCACAAGTAATAACAGATGCAAAAGTGGTAAAGATCATTTTATTCAAATGAGGATTTTGTGTGTACTACTGAATGTTGACATGGAGAGTTTAGGATGGATTTATTTTGTGCATCTCAAAGGCAGCTGCAAGTCTACTTGTATAGCACATGTTGGTGCAGAGACTTTGCAAAGTGCTTTACATGAATTATACAGTAAAGTCAAAGGAAAATAAAAGCAAGTAAAGAAAAAAAATGATATCTCAGTTTACATTTAATAGTTAAAGGCAGTTCTAAACAAATGGGTTTTTGACTTTGACTTGGGGGAAGTCAGGCTTTCAGGCCTTTTACAGTCTTCTGAGAGTGTGTTGCAGAAAAGTGGAGCATAGGAAGGTTATAACTTATTGTAATGTTATTATGGCGTTTTCAAAAATGACATACTCCGATCCTAGAAATGGGCAATTGAATAGGATGATTTTGAAAAACTCTACAAGTATACTTTTAAAGTATACATTTAAAACCACAGATTACTTACAATATATATAAAAAAATAAATACTTAGACAACAGTTATGCAGGAATAACAAAATCTTATTCAAGATGTGTGAAACTAAGCTGCAATTTAAAAACATAGGCAAGGTTTATCAGATCGAACAATCCTTAAGTTTGTTGTATTAATCTAAATGACTAATTTGTAATATATAAATGCGGTTTTCCCATTTAACTTTTTTTTTGTTTATCCTTTGTAAAGAGTTAAAATTAATCAAAAACGATTGTAGCTTTATGATAATGCATTTCCTTTAATATTTTATTATACAGCAGAAAAAAAATCCCCAAAAGAGGCAAGCTTAGTATCAAGAAAACTTAAATAAATTATTTGCTGAAAAGTAGAACTGAAGTAGATGTAATTGGTTTCTTAGATTCTGAGGCGAGAACAGCAGGCCAAGCAGCGGGTCTACAGTATGTTCTCATCTTGGCTCAGGGAGTGCACCAGACTGCTGTCCAAGAATTTCAGCAATAACCAGTCATCCTGTGAGCTACAAGAGCAAATGTAAAGATTTGTCAACTTTTTATCAGTATTAACAGAAAGGCAAAAAAATTAGAAAATGTTCAATAATTTTTTTTAAATTAAAATTTAGTTTTACAGATAAGCTTATGTCACTTGTGGATGAAATGGGGGAGCTGGTGACAACAGAGTGCCACCGTCAGGGAGCATGGGGGCTGTTGGGTGAAAGTACAGGAGCCAAGCTGCTCTGCCCAGACACAGGGACTGTCCTGACCAAAGACGACATCTTTGGTGAGTCTATTAACAATTTTCTGTGTGGCGCTAGAACACTGGACCTCTTGAATTTTAGAGAAACAGCCCCACCTGCTGCTAAATAGCTGTGCTGCAACAGACAAGATGAAAGCCTAAATGTGATCACAGCTGCAAAACTACAAGGCTTCCACATAAAAGAAAAATCCAAGTTAAAAAAATGTGTCAAACTTGAGAATATATCCCACCTGTCTCCTCTAGGTCCTGACGGGTCTTTGCGTGTCCCTGCTGCAGTTCACTGCGATCCGGTCACCGGGCTCATAAGGCCAAACGCTCACAGCCACATGTTGCTGAGCAGCGGCCACACCATGGCAGTGCCCCCTGATTATTTCATCCACCCACAGACTGGCAGAGTTTTACCCATCGTTGGCAACGTGGCCTATGACCCTGTCAGTTCTACGTTAGTCTTCACTACTGACCTTTGTACAGGTAACAGTAGAGTCTCTTTCTATGCCATAATGACTGCTGTGAAAACATAAGAAGCCAGAATAAAGAAAGGGAGAAACCTAAACTGTTAACATACTGTAAATAAATCTATTGCATTAAATCACTTTTCAAAGTTTCCTAAAGACAATACAAAGTAATAAACATTTAGCTGTACTTTTGTAAGAAAAGGGCAACAAGTTATTACTGTCTAACAATAAATCAGACTAAAATTGTCATGTTTAATATTAGGAAAATTGAGCAAAATTATTTCTTTGGATTAATGGCAATGTAAGAGATAATTGTAAGAGATAATGTAAGAGATAATTGTTTTAGATTTCTTTTGTTTGAAAACTACTGAACCTTTTAAAATTGTAGAGGTAACATACATCCTTCAGTATTTGGCTCAGTATTTTGTAGAATGTCCTTTTAAATTGTATGATTTAATTAGAATACATTTTTTTTTGTTTGATTATTTTGGAGAAATTCCACCTTAAGAGATAGATATAACTGAGTCAGATTTGAAGGCCACTGTCCCCACACTCACACCCCTCCAGACTTTTAAAGAAATTGTCACTTTATTGTCCTTAAACTCCTTTTTTAAAGATAATTTTTAGTCTCTAGAAGCAGTACAAAGATTACAGTAGAGATAGCACCTTTTAAATCAATGGTGAATCAATGGTGGCTCTTCCATATTTTACAAAGACATAGTAATCCCGGTGACTATGAACATCTTACCTTGAAGAGAGTAATAAAAAGGCTTTACAAAACTTTCTCCTTGTTCTGAGATTTAGCAAGTACTGCAAATATTGGCAATCCAACTGATATAAAACAGGAAAAGTTCAATCTGATTTGATAATCAGAAAAAAATGTGAAGGTGTTTAGAACAATCTGGTTTCCACTTTATGTCCACAGCTGAATTTTAGATATTGAAAGACATAATATAGAAACATTATTTTATCTGGGAAACTGGCTTACGGTCCCTTTCAAAACTATCCTCCGATCTTATAATAACATATTTTATTAGGATGGTTAGAGGTCGACTGATATAAGAGTAATGTATGATAAGAAAGTGGAAGGAAAGTGACTGTTTTTTTCTTACCTTTAAAAAATAAAATCTGTAAATTGTGGATTACATTTGTGTTTATCTCCTGTCAGTCTGGTACCTATAGATAAAATCCCAGACACTAATTGGCTTCAGGATGGACATAATAGATCAACATCAATAAAGTCCACTCCTAATGTTTCTCCTTGCTTCCTGCAATCCTTTGTATCAGGTGAGACCAGAAAGTTGGACAGTCCCCTCCTTCCTTTCCTCCCTTATCCAATCTCCTGCCACTCCGAACAGCCATTGCCTTGCATTCATCTCAAAGGCCTAAAACCTGGACAGAGGCTGCAGCTGGGAATGCCCATGGCCGATCCAGACACAGGTGTCCCAGTTCCCACCTTGGCAGTAACTATCCACCCACAGACTGGATTAGTTTACCCACTGGGAGGGCTACATATGTGCCCACTCTCTCGCCTGTTGCAACCAATACAAGTAGGGTATCCCATGCTGGACTCAAGGACAGGGAACATGGTGCTCACTGTTGGGATCAGTTTAGATGTTGTAACAGGTAAATATTACTGGATTGTTTCCATTACCTAAACTGCAGATCATTTATTTTAATTTGTTCTGCTTGCCCTGCAGGACACATACAGCCAGTAGGTGGGGCACTACTCTGTGAGGTCTTCACTGAACCTTTAAGTGGACAAATGGTGAGAGTTGGAGGAGCCACCATCCGAGCCGGACAGTTGGTACCTCATGCAGGAGGATACCAAACCTTACTAGACAGCAAGGTAATAGATTATCTATATGGAATCATAAATAAAATCATTCTTATTGGCCAATATTTATCACAACAAGAGGTATGAATTAGGCCTCAAGCACACGGGTTTTAGTATAATCGTATCAACTTTGGGGGGAAAATGAATAAAGCATTAAATACACAGAGTGAAGAAATAAGCAAATGTTTGACTTGTACCTTAATATAAGAACATAACTGCCAAGAGCAGCGCAGAGGTGTTTGTTTTTCCTTATCCTTTTCATTTTTTATGAAAAATACTAAGTAAATGGTACAATGACAAATGAACCAAAGACATACAACACAATATATTTGGATTTAAAAAAATTAAAAATGACAGAAGGATTTCTTTGGCTCAGGTTCTGCTTGAGATGTTTAAAACAGTGGATCTCCTGAAGCCACTAACTGATGAATGGAGCTCTGATCCAAATGGACAAGAAACTAACAAGAATATAGGTGCTCGATTAGATGATCTCCTAACTGCAAGCAAGGATCTTGAGCAGGCCTGGGGGAGGAGTCTGTACTGTGGGCTGCAGGTTTGGACCAGGTTTGAGATGCTGCTTGATTGGGCTCAGGGTCTCCAGCAGGATGGTGGGACACTTGGTAAGAACTAATAATAATAAAAAAATGAAATAAAACCAACAATAAAAACATGGCTGATAAGATTATTTAAATAAAAACACTATATATCACTGTACCAATAGATAAGATGATTGGCACAGTCATGGCTCAGAGGCTAATACAGAGTGCAAGACCCATGTACACTTCTGTCAGGGGTTTGATTCCCAGTCCATCGACCTTAGCCTGTCTTCTTTCTGCCAACTTGAAAAAAATAAAAATAAAAGGCCAAAACTGCCACAATAAAACAATGATGATCTGTGGGTAAGGACTGGAGTTCCTATTTATTTAATGGTAGGATCATTTTCAAACCTCAAACTCAATCAGCTTTGGTTTACCAAAGGTCAGATACAAATAATTACATTTTATCCAATGACCTTTGATTGCATGAATGATCTCTCTGTTATTGGATTTTTTTTCACAAATTATCAAGAAATGTAAGACTTCTGTCTGCATTGCAAACCACAAAACAAAGTATCAGAAAATAATGTTTTTTTCAACATATATATCCCTATGGGTTTAATTCTTTTTCCATCGAGCTCATTACTAGATACTTATTATGCCAGGTGCTTCATGGTACTGCAGAAAAACCTCACAAAGTCGCCTAATTGAGTTTATTCCAGTACTTATTATTCCTTTTGGCCTTTTAAAACTTTGAAAAACTTCCAGAACCTGTCTCAATGAAAGTAGAGCACACACTTTATCTGCCATGTTTATTTTGACCTGAGACAGAGCTGGCTACTGAGCAGCGTGCGTACAGTCGAAGACACAAGCGCCTTTATTTTTCAAGTCTGAAATTTAAAAGAGTCAGATTCCTAGGAGAGACCCACATCTCCTAACCCAGAGACGTTTTACTTGAGCTTTACATATCACAGACAGCTACCCTTTACAAAAATAAACTTGACCAGTTCGTCTCATCTTAGCTTAGATAAATAGCTGCACAAACCTAACTGTATCTTTTACACTATTATGTTTATTTATGTAGTTATGCCAGCCTAAATTCGACAAGCAGTCATCTGTTATTTTGGTGGTTTAGCCCAACCCCAAATGATTCACCACTTTTACTTTTTCTTTTCTAGCTTTGTTAATAGTTAAAACAATGTTGTAATTACAACTGTGACCTGGGGAAGAAAAGAGAGCTATATAGACAGATTTGCTATTAAAATCTGCTTTTTTCTTTATTTATTAGTCCCCTTTTCCCTCTTTTTTTTCTTTATATGTCTTAAAATCCAATGGGAGATCATTCAACTAGACTGAGCAAAGTTATTTTACTTGTGAGCAAAACATGGAGTAAAACTGGGACTAAATCAGGTGGCTAAACTAGAGCAAACAAGGATTAAAGCTTACCAAAAAAAAGCACTAGATGTAGAGAAAACAAACCATCTGATGTGATCCTACACTCAGTCTCTACAGTGATAATTTAAGCTAGGTGCTATATATTTTATTCATATTTACTCAAGTGCTTTGCTTCAAATCTTCATTAATTTACAAAGTGAGTGATCTTAGTTCAGATAACACAAGATAAATTCAAATGGCATACCTCTCAATAACTGCTAAGATCTGCTTTTTAAGGTTGATGAAAACTTATGTAAGGTCAATAAGTTAGTGAGTTTTAGAAGACCACTACCCCTGACTGTAGAGGCAGTGTGGTCATAGAAGGTTTACTTAATGATCTTCTTAAGCATTAAATAATTTTCTCCCTCGAGATTTACTTGGAAGGTTAACATGTCCACTAGGGAGACTGAGACTCAGATGACTCATTCTGGGACAATCTCCAGGCCTATTTATCATAGAAAACATAAACAGCCCCTCAAGTTTTTTCTGGGTTTCCCTCGGCTGTCTTACCAGAGGGAACCTCCAAGAAACGTGTCTAGAAAGTATTCCTGATTAGATTAGAGAACCTCAGCTGGAATAACCTGATGCAGTAGAGCAGGAGCTTGATTACTGCATTGACCTATATATCATGACCAAATGGAAGGCCTACTATAGAGACTGAGCAGTAAATTCAGAGCTTTGCTATTAAGCCCAGTATTTCTTGCCACTGCATATTGCATTGCTGCAGAAATAGACTCAAACCCAACTATCAATATAACGACCTATTAATACTGAACTAGACTTCAAGATTCTTTAGCCCCTCTATTTGAGGCATAAACTGACTCTTGACTTAAATGGAGCAGCCTTAAACCTGGAATAATGGATTTTCAGCTTCAGACGTCTGTTTCTTTTTGTGTAAGACTATTTATTAACATTAACATTTTATTTGATCACATTTCACTCTGTCAATTTATTTTAAGTAAATTCAAATAATTAATATATCTGTTACCTGTTAATATATCTATATCAGGTGAAATGCCACTGCCAGATTCAAATATGTGTCTGCCAGCTCTCTTGGGGATGGAATATCCTGACCCTCTGGGATCTGGTCTAAGTGTTCCTGTGCTCGGCTGCCAGAGGGATCCTTTCTCAGGGAAAATTATTCCTTTGGCAGGAACCATGGAAGACCCTAAAGGAAAAGGTATGTTGATAACAGTAGAAAATCTAGACATCATCTACATTTGATTTAGCTTTTAGATTAATGCAAGATGAAACATGTATTTTTTTTTCTGTGACTCATGCATCCATTTGCACCTTACAGGCCTGGTGGCAATCCGTTATGGAGCCCAGGCTGTGGATCCCTTGACTGGGCTGTTGGCCCCAGTAGTTGGAGCGAAGCTGGATGTGTCCAGGAAAATCATTGTGCCTGTCACATCTTCATTCTGGCTGATGATGGCAGAGCAAACAGATGGTGTACAGGTAGGGAGATAAATCCTTGTACAAATTTAGTAAATAATGTCATACAAATTATGTTTAACATAGGATTAAAGCCCATGATTGAATCTAATAGGATCTTGCTTCCTTAACTCTTTTTCTATTCTGCGTCAGGTGGAGGCACTGCAGAAAGAAATGTGTGTGAGAAAGATATACTGGGAGCAGCAAAGGCAGCGTGAGGAGGATATCCTCATCGATCTGGATTTGGCTTTATTCCAGCATCTATTTAGAGTTACAGATTCAAATTCACAGGTCCTGGGGAGGTTGCTTATCCTCCTTATGAAAAGCATTTTGTGCTTTCACAACAGCTAGAAATCAATTCAACTAAAGCTTTTCAATATGTGGACATAAAAAAAAGCGCAAAATACATATATATATATATTTGATAGTGTAAAGATTAAGGTTACTTGAATACCTGTAGATAGATCCATCTCGCAGTGGTTTAAAACATTCCTACATTCATATAAACATCTTAACACAACCACAACTATTTAAATATGTAAATAACTGGTTGCAGGCTTCACAAATCGGACCAAATCAGACAGAAGAGGAAAGCAAGGCTTAAAAATATAATAAATATGCCAGATAAAACATATTTAAATACCAAAAACCCCCAAATACCATAGACTCAGTAAAATCTATTAAATAAACTGAAAGTGACAGTATCAGTTTTGTTTGTTCAGTTATGTAAAATCGCCTAGTGGAGGCTGTTTTTTTTTTAAATGTCTTACATTTAGGGGCTAAAAATTAGGTAAAACTTATAGATCTGGAAAGTGAGCAGAAATCACAGTAGCCTTATCATTGTTTTTCTGTGATGCACTGGTTAGTAAGGATTTGTGCCTTAATAACACTCAGTGTACATTCCTATAGGACCAGTGGTCAGGGAAGCATCTGAAAGAGGCAGCCACCGAGCTGCAGGACATTGCCCAAACTGAAGTCCAAAGGAGAGCGGCCCAGCGCTCATTCTTGGCTCTGGTCCTTCCCTCACATGTTCTACACATTCTTACATGTGGTAAAGCTAATTGCAAGCTGGAAAATGAAGCTAAATGACAATTTAAAGTGTTTGCATAGCAGCTTTAAAAGGTATATATATATATTCATCTGTAATTGTAGGTGATGAAGAGGAATGGGACCAGCAGTGTGCATGGTACTCAGTGGTCATTTCTGCCCTTGATAAGCTGGATGTGTGCATGGAACACCTGCAACAAGACATTGAGAAATGGTCGTCTCAGCCAGAAGAGTGGTCAGCAAACCTCAATGCGATGGTACAAACAACTGCTTGTTTCTGACATCACAGCTGTTTTTGATTACCTTAAATAAAACATGCTTTGGCAAATCCATATGTGTTCTTAACAGCATTGCCATTAACTATACTACTGATATAAAATCATTGGGTTTTCAGGATAGAGAGCTGAGAAAAAGAGAAACATGGGAGCAGTGTTGTTCCATTCAGACTGAGGTGGATTCTGCTATCACTTTGCTCCATTTTATTAGACATGTCTCTCAGCTGCGTGCCAATACTGCGCAGGTTAAAAAATTTTACGATTTACCATATCTTTATGTTTATATAAAGAAAGTAGTTTGACCCGGGGATGAACTGTCAAGCAATTTTCTGTTTTCATGTTTAGGGAGTACTCTGTGGACACTTTTGGTTCAAGAACTACGGCTTGGTCCAAGGCAGTGAATATAAACCAAGCATTACAATGATGGCTCTGCTCCAACAGAGGGCTGTGCTCCTGCTTGAAAGACTGAATATAATCTTAGAAGAAAAACCAACTAGCCGTTATTCCAACATCTTCAACCTGCAAAGCTCTGGTATAGGACCATCATATAACTGAAATAACACATATAAACACCAGTGCTGGTCTTTATTTCAGGAATTACTGAGGACATATTAAATATATAGTAACTTGGGAGATTATTAAACCTAAATTCTATTTCCGAACATGTCTTAGGATTGTCTAGAAAGCAAGAGACTTTCTTGGAGATACCATCAAGAGGGTGGACAGCATCAGTGCCAGGGGTGAAAGGTATGATTGATGCTTTTTACAGTTAGTCACAAGCTTATTCACGCTACTTGCAAACCACTTTTCAGTAAGGAAAATTTAAAGGTATAGTGAAGTATTTTCACAAATTTTTGAAAAGACCCGCCCTCTCCAGAAAAAAAAAGCGCATGCACAACCCTGTATCCGCCTGAGAAGGGTCACCTATTAAAAGAGTGCAAGAGCATGCACAAGCCCATTTCTCCTTGTGCACTTTCTGTTTATTGACAAGCTTTTAAACATAAGCAAGGAACCTGACTTAGGTTCACAAAGCTTATGGGCATTTTAAATATAAGCATATAATATCTAGAGGGAAATACATAAGTGTTTTATTTCTTTCTTGTAGGCCTATGTATCCATAAAGTATTTTTTTCAAAACAATACGAAACGAAGTCATTTAGAATGTTTTAGAGCCTAAACAGTAGTGTATAGGATTTCCTAAAAGCGCGCCCCTGCGAGTTCACGACGTTTGGTACTACTTTTCAAGGTGCATTAGACATTGGGACACTCATTTTAAATGGCGTATTCCCTATATAGTGCTATGAAAGTGGTTAGGGTGGATTTTCGGACACAACTTGACGGACTAAAAGAATGATTCCAGTATATTTGGAAGGTTGGAACCGTCTCTGATCAAGTCCTGACTAATTATTCACTCGGTAGAATCAATGGCTCATTGCTGTGTTGCCCTGTCATGCTTTATGGCAGAGCTACACCAGCCTGAGATGTGTTTGTGCAGGAAAACTGAGTTAAACTATGGTTTAGCAACAAAAGAAGTCAGTATTAATTCCAGTGAGAAGTAACATAATAGAAAATATGACAATATTACTCTAAACCTTTATCACCACCAGTTTTTAGAATTTGGGGGATAACTGTACAAACATTAATAGCCTGCTGACAGTGCATCATTGGTTATAGTTTAACTTTGGTACTGTATATGCTGTAGTGTGTAAAACAGTGTGTTTCTAGACACACTGCAAAAACAATCCAAAAAATAAGTAAATTTCTTAAAATATGTTAGCAAAAACTAGCAAGCGGGTGATTATGTATGTTCACTAAGTAAATATTATGTAAATAAACCCTACACTTCTCGCTATAAATGTAATCAAAACCGATTTAAATGCAGAAACTGATTGAAATTATTGATTTTCCCACTAAAAGTTAGAGAAATCTCAGCCATGTTTATACCAAAACGTTACAGTTTCACATTATCTTGAAAAATCTTTGCAAGAAACGAACAAGCAAGTGAATATGGTTGAACTGTAAAGTGCCTTGAGATGACATGTGTTGTGAATTTGGCGCTATATAAATAAACTGAATTGAAACTGAATTGAATATGTACATTCCCTGAGTAAATATTCTGGCAACAAACTATACATTTCTCACTAGAAATGTAATCAAAATTCATTTTAATGCAAAAACAAACTCAAGTTATTAATCTTTCCACAAAAAAATGAGCGAATGTCGGACATATATATATATATTTTTTTCTTCTCCCAGCTGGAATCTTGAAAGTCACGTGACTAGGACGTAAAACAATAGAAAGCGTATAGGCAGAAGAAATGTAACAGTACCACAAAAAAATGGCCATTAATATACCTCCACTACGTTTTGCAGTGTGGACCAACGTAGTGGGGGTACATTTTCCCATGAGACTGGGTTGGATTATTAACACTTGAGCTTTTAATGCACACTCTAGCCCTTAAATTTAATCCTGACGTGTCAAGTTGAATGGAGGTTCGTAGAAGACCCTTGTGCAGAGATGGAGGTGGTTTCTTGTTGATTTAATAATGAGTGGTGGCAACAGAAGCATAAATTCAGAAATAACTAACCAGAGAACACAAGAACTAGAGGAAGAGTATATAGGGCAGACAGAACAATGAATATAGTAATCAACTGATTGAGAGCAGGCGTGAACAAAAGTACAACAAGGCTTAAAGGAATAGTACACCCAAAACATGATTAGCCTTCATTTTCTACTCACCCCCATGCTGAACAACACTCTGGAGTACTTTTTTGATATCTCAAATGCATCTGGAGATCTGGGAGGCTTCTTGCTGTCTGCTGACATTCAAATAATGGAGGTCTATGGTGCCCGAGTCAGAAAGGTCCATAAAAGTCCACAAAAAACGTGTCAATATTCCTCCATACTGCTCGTCCAATGTATTCCAAGTGTCCTGAGTGGGTAGCATCCAGAATTTACCCGAAACGAAGTCATTTAGAATGTTTTTAGAGCATAAACAGTAGTGTATAGGATTTCCTGAAAGCGCGCGCCGGCGGGTTCATGACGCTACGGAAGCCGGCAGACCAAACCAGATGAAAGTGCGCATTCAGCGTCTGCTCTGATGATAATGCAAGCGTAGAAGAAGAAATGTGCTGTTTACCTGTGCAAAGAAAGAAACAACGAAAGAAAAATGTCTGAGGACTTCAGTGTTGAGGAAGAGCATGAGTTCTTTGCCTAGCTGAATGCGCACTTTCATCTGGCTTGGTCTGCCGCGGTTTCCGTAGCGTCATGAACGCGCCGGCGCGCGCTTTCAGGAAATCCTATACACTACTGTTTATGCTCTAAAAACATTCTAAATGACTTAGTTTCGAGTAAATTCTGGATGCTACCCACTCAGGACACATGGAATACATTGGACGAGCAGTATGGAGGAATATTGACACGTTTTTTGTGGACTTTTATGGACCTTTCTGCCTCGGGCACAATAGACCTCCATTATTTGAATGTCAGCAGACAGCAAGAAGCCTCCCAGATCTCCAGATGCATTTGAGATATCAAAAAAGTACTCCAGAGTGTTGTTCAGCATGGGGGTGAGTAGAAAATGAGGGCTAATCATGTTTTGGGTGTACTATTCCTTTAAAAACAACTAGCAAAGAACTTAAATGACATTAAAGACAAATTAAACTAATGACTATAAAACACATAATGGCATAAATTAAAGTCTGACCAAAAACCCAAAGTAAAAACTTTAACAGAACCCGAAATCGAGATCAAGAGATATGACTGGCTTAAAGCAGAGTAAATGTCTCCCTTATTTGTCAAAAGGAGACTCAACCCAGTCCCGCAGGGAGCCTGCATATGTCAAGTTCCAGGATGCTAATCTTCAGACCTGCAAACGACAGGATGCATCCTCTGGTGTTCAGTCTCAAGGTTAGACACACGATTTGCCCATTTTCACACTTTGCAGATAGATTTGTCCCTTGGCATACAAATTCTCCGCAGAGTATGTGACAAGGCTTAATGTGGTTTAGCCTTTGCACAGCCTGTTCTACATACTAGTAGCAGAAAACAAGGTTATGGTTTTTTCTAATGCTCTACAAAGAAAAGTGGAAAAACCCTCTGAAACTTTAAAAAGTTTCCTTTCATCTGTGGTGGAGCTAGACTTTAATTGTTTGTGTGTTGGTGTTGCAATCATTTTAAATCGTTTCTAAACATTAAAATATTTATGTGCAAGTTTGGCAAAAAGGTTATGAGATTTGAGTTGCAGTTTAGAATCATAGTATAAGAAAATAAATAAAAAACAAAAGCCAAACAATCGAAAACACAATTTTAAAAACTGGTTACTTTTACTTATGTTACTGTAATACCAGTAAGTACTTTTGTCTGTGCCTGTGTTATTTATGTCAGCTTTTTTAGTTTTAGTCTTTAGGACTAAACATGAGATTGACTAAAGCTTTTCTAAAAAAGCTTTAGTCACAATTAAGTTATTTAATATGCAAATGTTTCATTTGTTGAAAAATCATAAAAGCATCAGTCTAGTTTTAGTCTGATTTAGAAAACAATTGTTTTTGACTTGCCATAAAACTGACATATAACTCCCCGACTATGTGTAATAACAAAGCAAGTACGTAGCCTGGTAAACACATCATAACCTGCAGACAGAACATTAATCACATCTGGTGTCAGCCATAAATCATTACGTTTTTCACAGTAACACAAACTAATAAAGTAATGTTAGAGTAACTCACTCTGCTTCAGCTTGAAGTTAATAGGAATTTATAATTGAAAGAATAAGCACTTGGGATGTCTGTAACATGTGGTGGTGCGCTGTCAACAGTGATTCCATTTACTGTGCGTATTCACTCTTTTTCCGTGTGTGATGTGTGAACATATTCTGCTCAGAATTGTAAAATTGTATCTTCTTGGCCGATTTATGGAACTGTCGCCGTATCCTGAACCTTTATCACATGTTGTACTTCATATGGGTGATAAAGTTATTGTCATGATTGGGTTTCTGAGAGTAAAGCCCAAGATGCAGAACACACACGGAGACACTGGTAAAAGTCCAAAGAGTTTATTAAATGACACAAGCACATGGATAATTAACTGGAACAGTTCAGGCAGGGGGCTGGTTCACTGGGGTCTGAGCAGGGAACGGAAGATGGCTGGTAGCTGAGTTCATGTGAGGCTAAGCATCTAGCTTAGGCTTAGCCTGGCAGTCCTGGGTTTGAGCTTCCAGCTCACTGCAGAGAACAACAGGGGAAAACCCGAAGGATTTTTCAGGCTGAGCTTCCAGCTCACCGCAGGGAACATCAGGGGAATTTCCACATGGGAACCTTTAGGGAAACTCCACAAAGAAGTCGTCAGGTTTCATCCACGTAGGAATCTTCGGGTAGGCTCACCAGGGCAGATTAGCAGGTTAGACTTTCCAAGAGCTTCAGGCTTGAGACTGGTTTCCTGTGATGCAGCTCTCCCAGAGCTGCAGACCAGAGACTGGGTTCCAGTGAGGGTGCTCTTCCTGAGCTTCACGAGGAGACAGGTGGTTAAGCTCATCCAGAGCTTCATGAGGAGACAGGAGGTTAAGCTCATCCAGAGCTTCACGAGGAGACAGGATTCCTGTGAGGCACAGATAAAGGAGAGATTAGAATCTGATCTCAACCTAGAGACAACCAAGACTCAATCTAAAACAGAAGGCTCAGGAAGCTAACCAACTAAGATCAACACTGCGGCGTTGAGGCAAGGTCTGAAGTCAGCTTATATAGGAGAGGTCTTCTGATGAGAGGATTAGCAACAGGTGTGCAGGAAGGTTCCATCTCCAGAAGACCCACGGCGCTACCCTCTGCTGGAGACAGAGGGTAGTCTCCAGATCCCCACAGTAACTCAACCCTAAGGGAAAAAACACAGAGCAGAAGAGGATCCTCGGCGCCCTCTGGAGGGCAAGCCTGAGGATCCTAACAGTTATGCCATTTATTATTTCTCAAAATCCAACACTTTAATACTAAGGGCAAATAAAAGTCATTTTATATCAAAGCAATTTTATTTAATTATTATTTTTGTCAAAACTAACAGACAAATAGACTTACATCTTTCATTTTAAATCAATTTAAAGTTACCTTATTGCTTTTAAGTTACATGATTATCCGGGCTTGGAGTTTGGCAAACCCAGGGCTTTACAGTTCTTGATTTTCAGCCAGTCCTTGGTTAATTTACATTTTGTCTCATGGTCACGTTGCAAGGTCCAGTTCTCCATCATCTTTACATCTTTTTTAATGGTCTTATAATATTATATATACTAAAGGCCCATTTGTTAGATTTCATAGTGGATATAATCCCCAAAGCCCGACACATCAACTTCCATATGTGACATGACATGAGGTTATTTCCCTGAAACGCTGCATTTAGTTTAAACCAAACATGTTTTCTGCTCTGGTAATTTATCTTTAGATTTTTTTAACCCATTAGTAAATTCATGAACTTAATTCAAAAGGCCTCAAGAGGTTGTTTGATGTTTTACATTCACCTCAACTGGCTATGCTTTAAATTGACCAAGTTTCTATCAAAATATTAGTAATGCTTCTCTCTTGATCTGCATTTAATGTCAAAAACCTTGACATTAGTTGAACATGAAGTATAAGGGTATTATGCGAAATATTAGGGTATCATAATTTATTTCCCACTAAAAATGTAATATTTTAAAAAGGTTGTCTTTGTAGCCTTGCATATATCTAATTCCTCAACTTTTGAAAATAGATATAAAAGACTTCTTGAATCTTTCCTCTTTTCAGATGAAATAAACCCAAGAAGAAAACTGCTTTCCTTTCTTTAATGCAGAACTAATATTGTCTAAAGAGTCCTCTTACAAAGTTTTAGGTGAAATAACCATATCTATGCTTATGTATATGTTTGCTGTATTTATAAGAACTTAGACATCTCCCGTAACAAATAAACTGCTAACCTATTTCCCCTTGATTTCTTAATAGGAAGTCAGCAGGCAAAAGAAACTGATAAGTGTACTAATATGGCTGTTCCTGCTATACGAGGTATTATCCTATTATCCTATTTTATCTGTATATGCAAATTAAGAGTTACAGTTGGACAACATTTGAGTCTTAACAATTGACATAACTGTAATCCACAGAAGAGCAATGGAAAAGGCTGTTGGGGATGTCTCCTTTATTCCAGCTGTTAAAGAAACTAGAGCTACAGCTAAAGACCGCGGCTGAGCGGGTTGTTTTTCTAAGACAAGAGCTTGACAGTAAGTTGAGGTTTTTTCATTCGTGTTAGGAGGAGCTAGGTTTACCCATTATAGTTTGTGTTTACTAAAACATAGAGTAATGGTGACAGCTGAGAAAATGAATACAGTTCAATTATTTAACATAACACACCCTTTCAAGACAGAGGGAACAGTTTTGTGGATGTCCTTGATGCTCAGTGGGAATGTGAAGGAGAGCTGATCCCTTTGGACCTGTCAGTCCTCAGCCCCAAAGAGTTCTTGGTCTACCAGCATGGGATATTCCTCATCAATACACTACATAATCTAAAAGTGGTTGGTGATTAAGTTTTAATCTCACAGACAGCATAAAACATCTATTGATGCATTCTTTGTCAGTCCAATCTGATATTTTAATTGCAATTCCTTAAAAAAACATTATTTTCCCCCATATTATTGCTTTATGTGCTATGCGTCTTTAAAATGCTGCATACACCATATTTCTCTGTTTTTAAACAGACCCCGGCTATTTCACTTCAGATAGCACTGAGACTACCTAACAACAACTACTTCAAGAATGCCTTCAGGAACTCCTTCTTTTATCAGGTAAACAAGAGCTGTATGATAGTACTGTTATAACTGCCAGCATCTTCACTCTAGTTTAGAAAGTTCTGCAGTAACTTCTCTTCGCTCACCAATTGTTTTTTCATTTATTTCAGAAATATAAATGGTTGAAACCATGGAGTGCCCCCAGGGACATAAATTAAAATTAACTTCCATTTACTCATAATATTAAACTCCATATAATATACTGAAAAATGTGTATAAACACAAGTGAAAAGCTCTCAACTAAACTGGTGAAAACATTTACCTCTTATATAGCCTACTGAAAACTTTGCACAAGCACTAGTGAAAAGCTCTCACATAGACTAGTCAAAATATTTACCTCTCATAAAACCTACTGAAAAGCTCTCATACAAAGTAGTGAGAACTGTTCATATAAACTGGTGAAAAGCTCTCATACAAAGTAGTGAGAACTGTTCATATAAACTGGTGAAAAGCTTTCATACACACTACTGAAAACTTTCATACATACAAGTGAAAAGCTATCATATGTGTGATATTCAGTGGTGTCAAAAGTACACACATTTGTTACTGCAGTTTAAAAGCACTCTGGTAAAAGTTGAAGTATCAACTTGACCTCTTTACTCAAGTAAAAGTGAAAAAGTATGTGCTCCAAAAACTACTTAAAGTATAAAATTATAAAGTAACCTTTAAAAAAACCAGCCAGATGCCACTATATGAATTTAAAGCTCAATTTTACGACTATTTGGAAAAATTCTTTTCTGAATCCTACATTGTAGCATGGCATAGACAATTCATGTTTGCAGTTTGAAGAACACCTGCTTGCTTCTGATGATTTCCTTTAGCGAACCAATGAGTGTTTGCATTATATAACTCATCCAATTACACTAGTTTCCAATAGATGTCGATGGTGCCAATGATCTGCATTGGATGGCGCTTATGACGTGAAATAAATATTTATAAACATTAAACCAGGGCTAACCAATTAAATATTAGCGGGGTCCAAATAAAGAAAATCATCAACCAGTAAAAGTCTGGAGACATTTTTAATGACCTGTTACTTTAAACAGAATTTAACACTGAAATAAAATGGTGTTTATGCATCCATGTTATACACTGAATTTTTAAATAAAAAAATATATAAAATTTTTCCATTTTAAAATCTAAAGTGTTTTTTTGAAGTAGAGAACAACAATCATTCAGTTTGGTATATAGACAATTTCCTGATTCACATGTTTTATAAAACACCTGAACTGACCGTTTGTTATTTTTCTTTCTTTTTTATGGCTTAATGAGAGCTGTGGGCTTTATGCTGCCCTGCAAGGGTTTAAACCTGGGTTTGAATGGAGACAAAGCCATTCTCAAGCACATATCAAGGTGCTCATTTTGAGCCTGGATCCATATTTATTTTTGATTATGTTCATGGAGGGGAATCCTGCTTCACAGCAGCAGGTTGAGCAAAACATACTCAAAATGTTCAGGCTCCGCTCCGGTCCGGCCAGGTCAAGATTTGCTATTGCAATCGCAGTAAACAGGAAAAGAACGACGACAAGATCCGGTTTGTCAAATATAGTTACAACAGATCGGTAACTACAAATTAGAGCATAATTCTTATATATTTCAAAAAACTAACACTGTTTATTTAAAAGATTGGATGCAAAGTGTTAATTTCTGCATGTTTTGCTCCTATGAATTTAATGAAAATCTTGCACATGCTCTCCTCGAGCTCCGAGCGCAGCAATACGGGTCTGGAGTGCTGCGGGGCAGAGCTGAGACGGAGGATGTGGGATTTGTGGGTAAAGGGAGAAGCAGCGCAAGTGACGTTTTGACACTGTCGTCAGACAACATGCGGTAATTTATGAATGTTATAAATCAGGTTCGGTCTGGATTAGCCAGCAGGTGGGTCCAGATGTGGACCGTAGTCCGCTAATCCGTGACCTCTGCAATAAATGAAGCCAAGAGTAACGGGTAACGTTTGTTTTAAAAATCTAAGGAATAGAAAGTACAGATACTTGTTTGAAAATGTAATGAGTAGAAGCCAGATGTAGGAAGAAAAATAAGTAATGTAGTAAAGTATAGACACCTAAAAAGTGTACTTAAGTACAGTAACTAAGTATTTGTATACTGCTACTTGACACCTCTGGTGATATTTTACGTGTAGATTATAAATATATAATACAATAGAACTGGGGTTGTAGTTAATTATTTAAATCATTCAAAATCAGGGACAAAACCAATTGAATGTTCTTACTTCAATAATTATAACTATAACCTGCTGACTTACCAGGATTTTGGGCCTTTCACATTCTGGGTGGCTTCTGGACCGTCTGTTAATATGCATTTATTCTCACTGATTTAGTGACTTAGGCTAGGCTATCAGCAGAGCTATTAATTACCAACCAAAGAAATATTTGTCTCATTTTATTCAAATGTCACCAAAAGGAGGGTGAATCTGGCCTGAGGGATAAACCAGTTGCTGCGTATTTATTTTATAAAATATACTGTATTGGAAAACCAGTATTGCTTGTACAGTATTGGCTTATTTAAAGTAATCTACTCCCCTGTCGCAGGAGCGTGCATCGCCCTAAACTCATGCCCAGTGATGAGAAAACCGATTGAAATATGAACGAAAAGGGAAATATAAAAAATATTCGTAATGTTTTTATATTTCTTATACATGGATTGTATAAGAAATATGAAATATGATAGTTTTGGTGGACAGATAAATTCGAATTACTTGTCAGTTGATGTGCTACAGTCAGTATGAGATGAAGAAAGTCTCTGCTTAGTGGATGCCAATTCCCGATTTCGCTATCAGCTCTATTCTAGATCATTTCTGACTCTTTATTTTTGAAACTTAGAACCTGAAACCTGCCGATGATTCCCTCCCCTCCTTATTTTCACATTTTTTGTCCCAGACTTACACAATTCATACCACAATCGCAGAGAGCAAGTATGATTATGTGGAGAAACCTGCATAATTGTAAACACATTATTTCTCAAACTAAGCAGGGTAGAGTGATCTCGGCAACTTAGAACCTGGGGAAGTTTCCCTTCCCCCCTTATTTTTACACTTGATTCTGTTCAGAACATTGTCATATATATTTATATATATATATATATATTTATATATATATATATATATATATATATATATATATATATATATATATATATATATACACATATATACATATACATATATATATATTATTGTGTTTAATATTTGTTTATTACAACAGGAATACAGTTAGTTATAGTTATATATTTTCCTGGCATAAACCACTTCAATTTAAGGTGTCTGAACAAAAACCTACTAGTGTTCTTGTTTTATAGCAAACATTTTTTGTGCTGAAATGTAAAAATATAAGTTAGCCAGTAGAAAATAAAAATATAACTTTAATTCTCAAATTGTTACCAAAAATTTTTTTCAGACTAAATATAATTTCTCTATGTGCAGGAGGCAGAGGAGACGCTTTTTGTCCGTCGCCAGAGGCTGCAGTCTGTTGGTGGTTTCTCTCTTATGCTGCTTCACTGTCTCTCACATATTAAAACTAAAGACATGAGCTCCGACTTAAGTCCAGCGTTCCAGAGACTTTTCTACAAGGTGAATAAAAATATATAAAATCTGAAGAAATGTAGTTTTAAATACTTTCTACAAAGCATTTGTTTAATTTATTTATTTTTTCATGATAGACTCTACAAGATTGTCTCCAAGAGCTTTTTCTGGCCAGGCTGAACATCTGTTCTGGACAGGAATCGAGATTGTGTATTGGTTTTCAGGAGCAATGTGATTTAAAGGAGGCTTTGTCAGATCCCCTGGCTGTCTCAGTTCTTCAAAGGTTTCATCAAACAAGCAGAGGATTGCTATCTGAAGATGTAAGATGTTCCTCTCTCTATAAACTTGAAAGCATTGTTCAAATTGATCTAAATATTTTTAAAAGTAACCCGGACTTTCTTCCATGTGTTCTGTTTGTCATTTTCTGTTTACAACCAGGAGGTGGAGAAAATGCAAATGAAACACAGAGAATCATCTCTTTCATTGCATCTTGATGAATGTCTGAGGGATAAGAGCTCTCTGGATAAAGAGAGATCAGACTGGCTGAACCAACATCTGTCATAATTTCATGCTAGTATAACTCTCTCCCATCACACACCCTCCTTGCCAAAACTGTGATGGTTCACTGTACCCAGAGAGAGTATTCATCTTCAATCACAACGATTGCATGTTGTTGGGTTCAATGTTACTGGTACTTGTACTCTGCATCTTCCAATTTATCCAGGACCTGGTCGGACAGCAGTCTCAGCAAAGACTCCCAGATTTCTGTTTCTTTATACACCTGCTCCAGCTCTTCTGGGGGTAAAGCACTCCAAGACCAAAAAAGAGCCTCCCTCCAGAGTGTTTCTGGAGTTTTCCCCCTTATTGCCCAACCACCTTGTGTAGAAACCTAATTTCTGCAGCTTGTATCTGTGATCTTGTTCTTTTGGTTATAATACAGACTTCATGACCATAGGTAAGGGCAGGAAAATAAACTGATTGGTAAACTGAAATATTTGCCAAGGTATCAAAAGTGTAAACACAAATGCAATGTAATAGTAATGAAAAGTTTTCATTATTATCAGAAGATAAGTCTAATCAATCACATTTTCTCTAATCAATTTTATGAGGTAAGGATACCTTTAAATGTTTGAAAAAAAATTAAATATAGTTTTGAATATTACAAGCTACATAACTTTGGAGAGTAGAACTCACTATCCAAGATGGCAGCATAGGTGTTTTCACGTCTGTCTGCGTTACCTGTGTCTGTGTTTTTAATGGATTAATTGGGCTATATTTCTTAGATTTTTTTGGATCACGTTTTCCTCAGAGCACTTCTTTAAGTGGCATCACAAAAATCGTAACACTATGGCGATGAGTAGCCATAAACAACTATGCAAGCCCAGGCCTAGGCCTACTCAGTCACGTAGGTCTGGCTGCACCTTCAGACTCCCAGTTTATCTATCATTTGTGTTTGCGCTGTACTCACCGTTCATGGGCGTCGTGGGAGCTGCAAATGATGATGGATTTTATAATTCCTCTTGGCGGATTGTACTATCGAATGCTGGAACTGGGTTGTGTACTGACACGAGCGGATTTGCACCCCTAACTGGATGTGTTGCTGAGCCCCTTTGCCCGACCGAACCTGTCAGCTGGCCCGAAATTGGACAATCTCGGTTCATCTGTAGCAGGCGCGGCAGGGGAGCCGCCAGCAGCGCAACAAGACCAGCGCTTTGGATTACCATTCTTCTGTGTTTGTCAGGTAACATACATCCAAACCCAGGACCACTAGTGACTGAACTGTCGAGTCCCGATGTTTTGAAAAACAGCAGTGGCTTGCGTTTCATCCATGTCAATGTGCGCAGCCTTATAAATAAAATCGACGCTATTCGCATATGGGCTAAAACGACGGACAGTGATATACTCGTATTATCTGAGACCTGGCTCAAACCTGCGATTACGAACAATATGGTTTACATCGAAGGGTACAATATCTATAGGACGGACCGTGGGAAAAAAGGAGGAGGGGTGGCCATATATGTAAAGGCCTCCTTGGACTGCTGCGTCGTCGAGGCAATTAGTAAACCAAAGTTTTTCGTACTCTGTGCCATTAAACTCAATCTCCCCAATGGCGCTTCCTTGACAGTAGTAGGTTGCTACAGGCCACCATCGGCAGTGGCTGGAGCATCTGCGCTGCTGTCTGACTTCCTGGGAAAGCTGTCAAGCGAGTACATCGTCTTGGGGGATTTAAACTGGGACTATCTCTCGTCGTCCTCTGCATTAAGAGACTTGTGTGATGCACTGCAGCTGACTCAGCTGATCAAGTCACCTACACGCCTTAATATTAAATGTATGGACAAATCTACGCTGCTTGACGTTATCCTGACCAATGCTCCACACAAATTTTCTGCGGCTGGTGTTTTTTGTAATGACGTCAGTGATCACTGCATGGTTGCGTGCGTCAGGGACTGTAAAATGGTTAAGACCAAGTCACGGTTTGTTTTTAAACGACATCTTAAGCGTTTTAATGAGCAGGCATTTCTTCATGATATTTTCCACAGTGACTTAAATGCAGTTTGTTTTATGGATGATGTTGAAATGGCCTGGGATTATTTTAAGAAAACTTTTTTAGCCATCATTGATAAACACGCCCCTTTTAGAAGATTTAGAGTGAGGGGCAGGGATAACCCCTGGTTTAATGATTGTATTGCTACTGCAATAAGAGAACGTAATGAGGCATGGGTAAAAGCAAAAAAATATAATAGTGATGCAAGCTGGTTGAACTACAGGGTATTAAGAAATAAATGCACAAGACTAATAAAAAGTACAAAAAATGAGCATTACCTTAATTTAGTAAAAGAAAATCTCAATGACCCTAAGAAATTTTGGAAAGCAATAAAATCATCATCAGGCGATGTGCCACCTCCCACTATCCCTGAATATATTGTAACTAGTCAGGGAGAAATTAGGGATAAACAACATATGGTAGACACTTTTAACATGCACTTCATCAATGCTGGAATTGCTACTCAGTCAACTCTTCCAGCAAATGTTAGCAGAGGTAGGCCTACAATTACTGTTCCAGATCCAAATATGAGTCCAAATAGTTTTAATTTCAGCTGTATTTCTGCTTATGAAGTTCAGAAGGCTTTGCAAGGACTAGACTGTAAAAAGTCTGCTGGGCCTGACCAGATTGAACCATATTTTCTTAGAACTGCTGCTAACTTGATTGCTGAGCCTATTGCCTCAATTTTTAATCTTAGTTTATGTAGTGGTACCATACCTACATCTTGGAAGTCTGCTTTTGTCCTCCCACTTTTGAAAAGTGGAGACCCTTCCTTATTGGACAATTATCGCCCAATCTCTAGATTGTCTGTGCTGGCCAAACTGTTTGAATCTCTTATAAACGAGCAACTCAAACTTTTTTTAACTGAGAACTCAATTTTAAACCCATTGCAGTCTGGCTTTCGACAAGGTCATAGTACAGTCACAGCTGTTACCACAGTCACAAATGACATTTTGAATGCTTACATAATAAGAAGTCTTGTGCTGCAATATTCATTGATCTTTCTAAAGCGTTTGATACAGTGGACCATGATCTTCTTTTGAAGCGATTACAAAAGAATAGGCTTTAGTGATACTGTACTACGGTGGTTTTCAAATTACCTTAATGATAGAACGCAGTGTATTGTAATTGATAACTATACCTCAACATCATTAGAAGTTACAATGGGGGTCCCACAAGGGTCAGTTTTGGGTCCAATTTTATTTTCTCTTTATATAAATGACTTGGGTAAGGACCTGATGACAGCAAAAGTGCATCTTTATGCAGATGACACTATTTTGTACACCACAGCTTCATCAGTGAATGCTGCATTTGCACAATTGCAGTCTGCTTTTAATCATGTACAAACATTTTTTATTGAATTAAAGTTGGTACTGAATGCTAAAAAAACTAAAACAATGACATTCACACATTCACGATCCTCACCTAACATTAGTGTTTCAACACAAGATGGCACTAAAATAGAAGGAGTATCATCTTACAAGTATTTAGGCATCTGGTTGGATGATAAGATGTCCTTTGGTGTTCATATTGAGAGCCTCTGTAAGAAACTTAGACCAAAGTTGGGTTTTTTCTTTAGAATGAGGAAGTGCTTTCCCTATCTTGCGAGGAAAAGGCTAGTTCAGAGCACATTCCTGTCAGTGCTAGACTATGGGGATACACTGTATATTCACTCCAGTTTATTCTTACTTAAAAAACTGGATGTACTGTACCACTCTGCCTTACGTTTTATCACAGGTGCATCAGCTAGGACTCACCACTGCACTCTCTATGAAACTGTACAGTGGTCTTCTCTTTACATGAGGAGAAAAATTCATGTACTGACTTTTATTGCTAAAGCCCTTATGGGTAAACTACCTTTATACATTTTTAATTTACTTTCCATTCAAGATAGTACTTACAGGACTAGGTCATCAGAAAAAATACTTTTACATACTCCATTTACAAGAACTGAACTAGGAAAAACAGCATTTTGATCATTTGCATCTAAAGTATGGAATGAACTTCAAGCCACTTTAAATCTTGAAGTACTTCCATCCATAAATTCTTTTAAAGACCTGTTAAAATCATCATTAACTGACAGATGCAACTGTTTTTGATTGGATGCCTTATTTGCTGTTTGCTTTTTGGTTGTATGTGTATGCCCAATCTTGTTGTGTTGTGTTTAATTTTGCCTAGATGATATGTAGCTGTGGTTGTCTTGTCTCCTGTGGTTTTATGTTAATGTAACGTTTTAAGCCGCCTTCTTGGCCAGGACTCCCCGGAAGAAGAGTTACTTTAACTCAATGGGACTTTCCTGGTTAAATAAAGGTTAAATAAAATAAATAAAATAAAAGAACAGAAACTAGTCAAAATATCTCAAAGCACACTCTTCTACATTCTTGCTAAAGTTTTTATGTTAATTTTTGGGGCTATAAAAGAGGTCAAATAATTAGAACAGAGAAATCATTTTGTATTATAATTAGTTTACCATATATTCTGTTATTTAAATGGATATAATTTTTTCTCAATATGTTAACAACTTACTTTTTTCACTGTCATGTTTTTCTTTTAATCATAGATTAATTTATGTTACTTTTATATCCCCCTATATTTTTTGCCTTGCATATGTGCAGCTTTAGTTTTTCTGCATCCCATTTCCACTTTACTTTTTCAATTTTGCCTCATTATGCAGATAAGGTGGGTTGACCTTCACTGGCTCAGCTCCACTACTAGAGAGCTCGTCAGACCACGTGATGAGCATGCAGTGCATTGTGGGAAGAAAAAGGAATCCTTTCAAAACAGCTGGTTAAAGACACAGCAAACTTTCTGTAACAATGATAAAAGTGAAGAAAGAACACAAAATGGAGCAGCACATGGAGAATGTAGCTGGTCTGTACCACAAAGACTATATTGGAAAGGTGTGGTATATAGAGATAAGAAAAGGGGTTAAAAGGCTGGATCCATATGAGCATGAGCAGACAACTGATTTGAATATCCTGCAAAACTTCAAACATGCATTTATCTATAATTATATGACCCAGAATGTGAGTGCCTACAATCACAAAGTGTATAGAAAATTCAGTTCTCTGCAGCAGGTGCACATTCAGTTCATAGATGGACGGTTGAACGAGCTATTTTCAAAGTCGACCAGAAAACCATTGTACGCACAAAGGTAATGTTTCAACCCAATCTTTACATACTTCTAGTCTGCATGAGCTCAAAACCTCATTAATCAATGTCCTTTTGCAAAGAAAACACAGCATTCACAATGTCAATAAAAAATATGGAAATTTTGAATTAGTTATCTGCTGATGATGAGTATGTCTGCACAGTGACTACCTGAAACAATTTTTTTTTCTCTTTCCATAACCTGATTTAATCCCAAGTTTAACATTTATTTTTATTGTTCTGACATTCTGTTGAAGTAACTGCTGCATGTAAAAGTTGTAATGTCCCATAGTAAGTGTTACTGTCAGTGAAAATGATTTGGAGAATTTTGATCTTTTTTTGGTGTATTGTATTTAGTATATGTATATATAAACACTAACAGGACCGCAAAGAACTGCTTATTGCAACAACAGACTAATGTATGAAAAATCTGGCATAAACACTGGCATACGTTTGATAAGTTATGGGTCAGTTTTGAGCATGCTGAAGCACGCTGGCACACATTGACAAACTGCAAGTACGTTTCTCCACATATGCCAGTGTATACTCATACGTTGGCCATAAGTTACAGGTAAGTTATTTGATTGTTGACATACGTTAAATGTAAGTTACTCATAAGTCGATGTGTCTAGCTTATCCAAAACCTATGATTAACTTGTGCATAACTTATGCGTAACCTACCAAGAACTTATCACCAAAGTATATCAACGTATTTGACGTGTTCCAGATGACCTCTGAATGTGATTCTAACCTGCAGCTACCGTATAATGGTGTATTTGCAGCCTTTTGGTATAAAAGGGGGTTCACAGGAGGAAACAGTCAGTACTCCTCCAGACTTCATCCCCATCACGGGGTGAGCGAGAAGGTGAGTGTGATGGATCCTCCCTGCGATCACTCCATGACCAACAAACTTCCTAGCAGACATGATGCTTAATCTGCTGCGACTGCAAACCTTCTTTCTTTCTTTTCTTTTTCTTTATTTATCTTTTTTGTTGGTGGGCTGTAAAAAGCAGCTACAGTAAGTTAATACCACGATCAAAGAAATCTTTTTATGCAGGCCGGGCGCCTCGAGGTGCATCGCTGCGACCCTCAGAACACTGGCTTGTGATATTTTTTATTTTATTATGCTGCTGTGCGTTATGCATACCGGTAGGTTAGTCTGTCAATGAACATAAGTCCTGGACTCATTATGAATACTCTATGTATACACCAAAAATTTTAAAAACCACATAGGGAGTTCCGCATATGCCAATGTTTTAGGAGATTCTGGGACATAAGGCATACTCTAGCTACGTCGTCACGGTGGCTTAACGACAATGACAGGGTTCCAACCCCTGATTATTCCATTAGAACCAACACCTAAACTAACAATCGATAAACTAAAAGGCTATTGATTTCTGATATGGGTAAATCATTTCAATTAATATCATTTTAAGAAATATGTTTTCATTTAGCTCTTGTATTTGCTTTGTGAATTGGTTTTAACAAATTCTGATTGCTCCTATTTAGTTAAACTCTAATTTGACCTCATTCCAAACTCTTCAGAATAAACTTTGGTTCTCAAACATAAAAACTGTAATATAATTTCATAGATGATGTTTTTAAACCATTTCTATTCCTATTTCTTTGTGTGCATATTAGCTTAGGTTGGGCGAGTTTCAATACTTTAGTCAAGAGTTTAACTGAAATATGTTTGAGTTGGAGTTTAAGAGCTTTGTTATTAAATTATCACATTTATACAGGATTCATTTATTTCATGTCCGTGCAGATTTAACTGTTCATCATGATTCAGATTTCCCAATGTTAGGTAATCTTTTTATCACAAAACTACACACCCTATCGTGACTCTCCCAAAGTCTATAGCAACTCTCAGAATCTACCCACAAACCACAAATTCCAACAAATAAGGTAAAAACAGAACTTTATAGGTCATTATAGGTCATCATACCCAACAGTCTTGCTCATTGGAATGTCCCTCTGGCTGACTTGTACAGGATATAACACACAATGAGCAGTAACAATACAGGAAATAAAAAGAAAAAGACACCACAGAGGCTCCTCTGTGGTTTACAGTAAAGAGAGGGTTTCTTTCTTGATATGCCTCATTTTTACATCTGTGAGCATAGAGCTGATTTGCCTTAGAAAACGGTTCCATGTTTGTCTCATTCATCAGGCTGGTGAAATAGTTGTCTGGCTCTTTTATGAATTGTTTTCTACAGTGGTGGTCTCCTCGGTTGTCTCCAATTAAGTTCACTTTGGCTCAGACAAAAATTAATGTTGCAATTTGACACTGATGTTCCTGAGCTTGAAGTACACCTTTAATCTCTTTAAAAGTTTTTTTCTGGGCTTATATTATCTGTCTCTTTGATTTCTCATGAATTTTCCTCCTACAGCCATTACCAGGGAGGTTGGTGACTGTCCTATGTACAACTGTTGTTACAGAAACATCAAGCTACTTGACAATGATCATGTTTGTCAATTATGTTCTTTCTAGTCTCCTTAGACAACTCTTTTCTTCGCTTCTTCACACCCATGTTGAGTGTGGTACACACCATGTCATTAGACATCACAGTCTATATTCAGGCCCACTGACTGATTATTGGACTGTAGACACCTGTGATGCAAATTAATGGATATGCCTTGACTGGTCAAATTATTTTCAGTCTTTTCTAGGGATGAAGTCTTTTCTAGGGATATTTTTGTATGTGTCTGTTTCATTAGATTGTTTTTCTAAATCTGTTTGTTGAAGCATGGTTGAAAAGCAATGTCTGACTTACATTTGTTCATTTTCATAGGATTTTTTTTATTATTACAAATGTCAGATTTAAGTTATTTCTGTGACCATTGTATGTATACTTTAATTAAACAAGTGGTACCAACACGTTTGTCCCACTTGAAATTGATCGGTAGGAGTCCTTGGAATATCTAGAGAGAGCCGTCAAACCCAGCCAGGGGTTTGGGGGTTTTCCGCAACTTGATATTTGTTTATAGTGATTAAAATTGAATATAAGCTTTACTGAGATATGTTGTAAAAACTGCAAAGAGGCCAGAACTTGACATAATATCTTATGCCAGAAATCTTTAACATTTTAGGTTTACATTGATATTAATTAATGATGGCTGCTGGTCTCTAAAACAGGGGAGGCTGAATGGTGTTATTTAAATCCAAACGTTGTGTATTGCAGCAACAAATGTTGAAACACAAAAGACACATTGCTTGTAAACGAGGTCAACCCTTCTTTCCTGTATAACAGGTGAAAATAGCTGTTGTGCAGCGCTCCGGGCGCCTGGTTAAGCATTTGGTTAAAGTGTGATAAACAACTTTGCTCAATTTAATCTAAGGAACCAACTTGAAACTCCTTTAGAGACAAGGGACACATCTAAAAGTTGCAGGATACTGGCACACGAGGATATGAATATGAGACCACTGCACCAGGTTTAACACCTGCTGAACGCAGGATCTTTTTATACCCCTTAGCTGATGGGACTAACTGGCTGCAGATTTGAACAATTGGTTATAGGTCGGCCCATGCCATGATGTCTCTGAGTCACCTGATGGAAGATTGAATAAAACAAAAACAGATTGAATATGTTCCCAAACCCCAACAGAATTAGGAAAAAGATATTTTGAATTATATCCTTTGAAGTTCAGCTCCAATTTGAACTTTGCATAAGTTGCATGATGTATTCGAAAAGACAATTAAATTGTTGGAGGTTGCATCTCTTTCAGAGATTTTTCTTAAATGTTTCTTCAAGCCTTTACATTGTTTCTTTACACTGTTTTTTTTTTCAAACAAAAATGTATTCACTTATCATATATATAAGAGGTAAGTCATGCTTGGGTTTTCTATCCCCGCCTATAAAGCCCTAAGGGTCTGCTTCACACCAGCACTCCTTTAGTTACAGTTTGAGATTCAAACAAGCAAAGCGTTGCTGCAGAAACCACTGAACCACTGAAAGGCAAAGTAAGCATGGAAGAATCTCAGACCCGTGTTGCCTCAACCTACTATGGGTGGTCTGTTTTTAGCACTTTATGCTGCTGTTTGCCTCTAGGAGCTGTGGCAGTATATTTCTCCAGCAAGGTAGGTAGTATTTTTACAGGAGCAAATACGTTTATTTATAACCTTTGTTCTGTTCACCTCCTACACTCTCACCTGAATTTAAAATTGCATATTAAATGAAAAAATACAGGTAATTGTTTTAATTGTATGTAATATAACTTAAATGAAGGGCTTCTCTTTTATGATAGAATTACGTGCATGATGCATAACTCTTACAGTTATTAAGAATGACATAAAATAAGGAATTTACATCCACATTTTTTCTCTTACTGGTGCAAAATAGCAAAGATTATTTAGCAATAGTTTTCTCATTTTTATGAATGTTTACATCCCTAAATAATGCACTGAGAGTATCCCTTTTTTTTAAGGTAAAAAGTGCAAATGAGGCAGGAGATGTCGATGGGGCAGAGCAAGCATCGAAGACAGCCATGATCCTTAACATCATGGCCCTTATTTGTGGACCTATTTGCATTGGTATTTACTACTACCTCAACCAAAAAGGTTCCAGATGAAATGACTTCCTTGTCAGAAAGCAGAGCTGATGTATTTGTGCAAGAATCTTCTCCACCAGCAACTTTAAAAAACAGAAATAAATGGCTATTCAAATCTAAAACTGTTAATGTGACTGCTGTCAAATTTATATTTGGACACAACCAGTGTTTAACAGTCAGTGGTAAAAGCATGTAAATGTTATCAAAACAATTGACAATAGTGTTTACATTTGTTGGGATTGACTGGTAATAAATGAAATGTTAAACTACTCTGAGTTTTGTAATCTCTAGTAAACTGGCAAACAACAAATTAGGAGCCACAAAAATGAAAAGGTCTGTATGATGTAATACAATCAATGAAAATACATGAAACTACAAATTCTTTAAAGCTGACTTGTTTCTAATATGTATATTAGTAAATGTATACATTTGTATAATGTAATGTATACATTTACTAATGGCAATTTTAGGTCAGGTGTTTAGGTCAGGTGTTTTTTTTTCTTTTCCTTTGACTGTATGCTCATAATGGAGAGAGGCAAGAAACAAAAAGAAGGCACTGAAAAAAATAAGAAGTAAGAAGAGACAAGCCCATCAGACAGAGGCTGCCAAATGTGTAAAGTTAACATTGACGGTTACTGGTGGTTATGTTGGAGTCAGTTACTTGCAGCAGCATCCAAAGAAGCAGCTGCAAGAGTTAATGGTGGGGGCGGCCACCTGCAGCAGGAGGAGGAGAGAACCACAGCAGCTGCAAGGGCGTTTCTAGGAAAATCTGAAATAATGAACCGCAGCCTAGCAGATATAAAACAAGTTTTAGGTTAGTTTAGTTTCATTGTGCCTTCAAATTCTTTTCATTCAGTTACATTTAGGCTGTTTAAAAAAATGTTTTTATGACATAACATTGATAGTGATCATACTGCTACAGTAACTTTAATTAATCAACTTGGATAAATTTCGATCTTTATTAGTTACGTTTAGACGATGGTCACTCAGTGCTGGTTTGTTGTTTGTTGCTTCCTCATCTGTGGTTCCAAACGTGAGTTCTCCCTGACATTTTGGTTATCTGTATTTTGGTTCTCAGTATTGTATGCTTGGATTTCTGCCTCAGTTGTCTATTAAATCTGCAAGACTCAACTATGCCTCCTGATCTCTGCCTTTGGGTCCTCGAAAAACTTCCACCCAACCATGACAGTTTGTATGTACAGATTATTTCTGTATTTTTAAAATACAATTTCTTTTACAATAAGAGACTGTGATTTTACATGAACATGAAAACACATCATTGCAAGCCATAGCTGCCCTGGAGTTTACTGGCAGAAGTGAAGCTGCTGTGCACAGCCCCCCTCGGGCCCTTTGACCACCATCAGTTCACTTCACATGGAGGTGGGGCTTGAAGCCACAACCCTCCCATTGCAGGGGAAACTCCTCCATCAGACACCACTGTTGCCCAACCAAGCAAGAGCAGGAAAAAAGCTGGAGAGAGTGCCTCCACTTTTGATCAAATTTTTATAAATAGGGGCCCGTTCTTTGCCATCGACAAAGTTGCTTCACCTTTTAGCAGAGATTTTTATCCTAGGCTTTTTCCCCTCCATTGGACATAGTCAGTATAATGTTTTATATATACAATGGAGGGATGCTTAGGTACTGAAAATGAACAAGAGTTATTGACATATCCTTCTACTTAACAATAATAATCTAGGCTATTATTGGGATATGGAAACCCATTAAGGAGTAAGTAACATGAGGAAGTTTATAATTGCTCTTGTTGACATTCTCGTGAACCATTGAAGAGGTTGGCCTTCAATTCTCCCTCTGTACAAATTAAAGAGAGGAGCTTCACCCAAGGCCCTAAGTAGTGTAAACAAATAATTTTATAAAGATAATTAAAACAAGCAATCTAAACACAAAAGCTGTTTGATAATGTGTGTGTGTGTGTGTGTGTGCTTGCAATAGAAAAGTAAAAAGCTAACAAATGTGAATTTAGAGTTCACCAATTACTCTGCAATATGTTGACTGTGGCCAAGATAGGGTCCTCATATAAAATACTAACAGACTTATAAATACTATTTATTAAAGTTTATATATTAAATCTAGACCTAACACGTATCTTCTCTGCACTCTTGTCCAGTTTTTTTCTTGATTCAGAGTGCCAAAGAACAGGAGGATGATAAAACGATTATCCCTTGGCCAACATAGGTAGGGGATCGAACAGGGTTTCCAGAACTCAGGCATGGAGCATTAGGTGTATTAGTACAGAACATTTGTGAAGATAAGCTCTTATATACCGGTATCGAGGCAGCCATCAGCAATGCCCACCTTTTACCACCTAGCTAAAACTCACATTTTCCTTCTAGCATTCTGCATTGAAGCAGAATGGCTGAAATAGTGGGAATATGTCTAATCGGTTTTTGCGATATGAGGGCTGAAAACGATTGGTGTGGAATGGAGGTGATATTTATCCGATCGTCCTCTAATTGCTTACCTGAGGAGAGGATAGCATATTGAGAGCAGTCCCATAAGGCTAGGCTTCTACAGCCTAACTCAGCTGCGTGAGGTCACGTAAATGCAAAAGAAACATAGTATCAGAGCTTTAGCTCTGCCCCTTCACATTTAGCAGCGATAACCGACCCAGTGTGATAGCTGCCTGTGTTATTGCCAGCAGCTCTTGCTAATCCATCTCAATGTGAAAGGACATTTTCCATATACAATATACACCCACTCACCCATACAACAAATTATACTATATATATAATGCTCCCCACTCACACAACATAATCATGAAATAATAAAGGTCTGTGTAATCTCCATAATATTCTCTAATAAATGATATTTCACTAAAGTATAGAGTATTGAGTTCATGTGGTTTGATAGGTCCTCCTTTCTATTAAAGAAGGGACTATTTAATTCACTAATAATTCTATTTGAATTTACCTGTTTATAGCATTTAGCAGATCACTTTTATGTCAAAAGTCGAAATACTAATAGTAGGCATTAACGTGAAGGGTCCATTACCTAAGGGGCTCCAAACTGAGCGGGAATCTAATCCCCTAGGCCTCCCTGTATGCTAAGTCAGGAATATCTTACCATGTTGAGCTAGCCAGCACACTCTGTACTAAGCACTTCATTGCTTCTCACAAACCATTAGATTACCATTGGAATCAATTGCTCATCCTTCTAGTCAACTAACCAAGTAGCAGAGTCTTAGACAGACTATCTTTGTAGCAAATTCTCTCAACATTCAAAAGCTAGCTACAATAGAAAACAAAAAAAAACAGTGAATCTTCCTTTATTATAAAATCATAAGATGATGGGACTTAATATAGAACAGTGACAAATTTCTGCAGGTAATTGAACTATTTATTCCCATATGCTCTACTTATAACTTCAATAATCATTTGTGGGTCGCAAAATAGTGTTGAGTGTTCATCATACATCTCAGTAACCACGTGGAATTAGGTTCCATACAAACTCTCACAAGTTTTTTAATTTCACAATCTATGTCACATTTTAAACTTCTGAATGTTTCAAAAAGTCGGTGTTCTTGGTAAACTTTTTAACATTTGTTATAGAGTAAAAATACATAAAGGAATCTTCTCTATAATACCCTACTCAGTATGGAGATAATGTGCAATTTTAACCTCCTTAAATAGAAAGGAATATTAGCAATGTAATACTTTAGATCCTGCGTGGAAGCTTTATCATAAAGTTATCCTGCTCTCAAAAAAAAGTCTTGCCCCAAATGAAAAAAGGGCTGAACTAAAATTGATAATTTACCTTTAGGATTAATAATCTGTAATTATTGAATTAAAAGCTCCTCTCAGAGTAAAAAAAAAATTAAAACCTCTCCACCCGCCCTCATGTTATTTTGGTGTGTGGGTAAAGATTGCTGTATAAACTAGCATTTTCATATAAAGCAGATATTATAAAAAAATATTTAGTAAATTATGATAGCACACATGAATCGACAGCTTTAGCACGAGTTTACACTAGTGTATAATTTACCTGTTGGCACACTAGCACCTGGTCTAGTTGTGTGGAGTGCAGAGACCGCTGGTAGGTATATTTTCAAAAGGGGGTGTTTGAAAATTTGGACTAAAAAGACCTATAAGAGGCTATAAGGCTATAAAATAATAACAATAATAAATGGATAGTAAATAGAAGGATATTCAAAGAATTTGACATATACATCTTCAGTGCATGCGCAACCTAGGTCTGTACATTGGTGTTCAAATAAGTACAACACTATTGTTACTTAAGTAGAAGTATAGAAACTTGCATTTTAATAACCACTTTGGTAAAAGGTCTGAACTATCATTAACTTGACCTCCTTTATTCACAGTTAATAAGTGAAATAAGTATGTGCTTTATTTTTTATTTGTGTTTTATTTTTTTTTATTATTCTTTATTTGATTTTCCAAAAACTATACTTAAAGTAATAAAAATATGAAAATTAACCCTAAAAAAAAATCCAACCAGCCAGATGCCTACTATATGTAATGAAATGTTCAACTTTCGACTATTTTGAAATAGTTTTCTCTGATATAGGGCCAATCAGATGAGGGAGTATCTTGTTGTTCTCGTCTCTCGTCTCCATCCCCGATAACCTTCTCGTCCGTGCCGGACCTTTTATGTATATATTTCAACATCTTTTCTGAAATCCTACAATGTAGCATTGCTTAGACAATTTATGTTTGCAGTTTGAAGAACTACCTGCTTGCTCTTATTGATTTCCCGTAGCTAACCGAATGTAGTGTTTGTTGTCCATCCCCTATCTAGTTTTTTCCCTAGATGGTGTTAAAGAAAAATGATTAATTTATTTGTACTTTAATACAGTTAACTCTTAGGTCATGTGAAACCTCTCCTTTGAACATATTCTCTTAATTATGAACAATAGGCTTGTTAATGTTTAAAACTACTACAATGGATAAGTATTTTATAGAATTCCACCAGCCCAAAGAATTGAGTATCTCCTGAGGGGTGATTAACAGTTAAGCGCAGAACGATTTCTCATGTTTACAGAATGTCAAAAGTGAGGCCACCCTCGCATTCCCACAGAGCTGTCTGTGAGAGTTCTTATCTTGTGTTTAATGCTACTTTTAGGAATGCTAGATGCCAGGACAAGCTTTCCGCCTTTTCTTGCTAATAAAACAAAGAAGTTCAATTAATGTACTCCCAGATGTTTGCAGTAAATTAGGTTGAACTCAGAGTCAGAGATGGCTCTGGTTGGAGACCCTTGGGCCAGCCCTTTTTGAATGGATTAGATACAAGAGTAT